GTTGTGTGCAGGGGAACTGCTTTTTGGCTCAGGACCCATCCTAGGTGACTCTGTACATTAATTGTAAATTTCTAGGAATTGGGAGCCAGTAATACAATCTTTATTTTGTATTAGATAAGGCATTTATTTATTTGTAGGGAAAGAAGTAAACCAGTTCACTGCTCTGTTGTAAAGGACTACAATATTCACAGCAGCTCTTTTTTTTAAAGCTGAATTAAAAAGAGGAAAATATTTACACAAATATTCTGATATTTCTCTTATTCTTTTTTTAGAGGTAAGATTTCCTTCTTTTTTAAAAATATATGTTTATTGATTTCAGAGGGTTAGAAAGAAACATCAATGATGAGAGAGAGTCATTGATTGGCTGCCTCCTGTAAGCCACACATTGGGGATTGAGCCCACAACCCGGGCATGTGCCCTGACAGGGAATTGCACCGTTACCTCCTGATTCATAGGTGACACTCAGCCACTGAGTCACGCTGGCCAGGCTCTCTCTTCATTCTGACAGCTAAAAAGACTGAGTCATATTCTTTAGTCTAATCCCAATTTACAAGTCACTTATTTATTGAGAATTTTATTTTTCTGGAAGGTAAGAGACGTTATTTTAATCGTGTTTCTGAAGTATCAAATGAGTCTAGTCTAAAAAAAAAAAAAAAAAAAAAAGAAAAGGATAACAAGAAAAGGAATTTTTAACCAACTAACCTGAAAAGGATTTTAAAAGACTAGACCAAACATTCACTTACTCCCTCACTCCATGTATTCATTCACTCAAGTCACTTTTGTGAAGCAGCTTTTATGGACATGATACTGAGTTATGATATGACATGATATCTTCTCCTGAGATTTAAATCTCCCTCAAATGAGTCACCTTGTCCTCAGTAGCATGCCCAGAAATAACTAAAATACCAGGTAAAAAGCTACTGTTTCCCCCAAAGCGGGACAGATAAAATAAGATAGAAGTCCTGAAGGTCGAAGGGTCATGTCTCATTTTGGGAAAGGATTGAAAGAAACTGTACTTTAACAAGATTTGGATCTTGGAGAAAGTAAAAAGAAACCTTCCAGGTACAGGAGTTCATGTGGCCAAAGCAGAAAGACAGGAAAATGGTAAGCTTTTGCTAAGCACTGCATAGAAGAGTTTAATTAGGGTCGATGCGAAGGGAACGGGGAGGCCAAGTGTAGCAGTGGCTGATGTTAAGAAGACTGATTGCTGCCCTGGCTGGTTTGGCTCAGTGGATAGAGCGTCGGCCTGCCGACTCAAGGGTCCCAGGTTCGATTCCTGGTCAAGGGCATGTACCTTGGTTGCGGGCACATACCCAGTAGGGAGTGTGCAGGAGGCAGCTGATCGATGTTTCTCTCTCATCGATGTTTCTAACTCTCTATCCCTCTCCCTTCTTCTCTGTAAAAAATCAATTAAAATATATTAAAAGAAGACCGATTGCTAAGCTGAGGGATGTAGACTTGGCTGAGGCACTGAGTGATAGTTACTGAAGATCTTTAGAACACACAGAATCATAATCAGAACAGTGCGTCAGGAAAGTGAATAAGCCACACCTATTTCAAAGTAAAAAAATTAATTCGAAATTCAAATATTCGTTATGCCCCAAAATAGGTATTAAGTACAGTCAGTGCCTGCTAATTTTCCTCTTTTTTTTTTTTTTTAACTGAATTAAGTGTGAATCACTAAATGGCAGGTACTTTTCAGCCTCACTGTGGATCAGCTGGTCTTGCCTCCATCTTCGTGACTCTGAAAACAATGATGCTAATTAAAGATCTTACATGAACTCTAGATACCAGTTTTCCACTGACCCGTGAAGGTCCTACAGCCAGGCCGGCACTACCTATGAGTCAGGCAGTCGTGACATCTCGTACAGCTTCCTGATGAGGCCTCTTTCCTGCCCGGGTTCTGGCCATTAAGAGCCATGCACCTTTGAAAAGTGCCAGAGGGCATTTTGCACAAGATCCAGAGGCGTCAGTCACTTGTGATCGCTGTTAAAAATACTGCAGTTAAAGCTGCAGTTGAAAGAGCTGTACTTCAGGTAGCTGTTTGCAGTTCAGCTAGGAACTTCTCTTGGAGAGCTAGCCAATTTATCATTGGAACAAGGTGATAAAAGTAACAACAGCTAAGACCATAGCACTTCACAGCTCCTGTACCGATGAAAAAGGTCACTTTTCCTAACTGAGTCTCTAGATCCTGTAAGTTTTTAATAAGTAAAAACCAAAGATCAAAGGCAGCAGCTTCAGAATGTAGGTAAAGGAAGGCTAAGAGCAGCTACACATTTGAGTAGAGGGAGCATCTTTGTCTTAATAACTCTTCCCAAGACATCCTTGGACTGTCCCTCAGTCACCAGTGGCCTAGTTCTGAATTGTGTGACCTTGGATGGATTTTTTTTTTTTTTTTTTGGTTAATCCTCACCTCAGGATATTTTTTCCATTGATTTGTAGGGAGAGTGGGAGAGAGAGGGAAAGACAGAGAGAAATATCAAAGTGAGAGAGACACATCGATTGGTTGCCTCCTGCACGAGCCCTGACCAGGCTTCAGCCTTGAGGAGGAGCCTGCAGCCAGGGTACGTGCCCTTGACCAGAATTAAACTCGGGACCCTTTGGTCCAAAGGCCGACGTTCTGTCCACTGGGCCAAACCATCTAGGCTTGGGTGAATAATTTAACCTCTTTGAAAACTAGAGTGTTCATTTATAAAATGAAAATTATACCTTCCATACAGAGGTGATTGTGAGGATGAAATGATTCCATGACTTGTGTTTGCTTCAAAAGTAATACAAGAAAGAAGAAGAGATCAGGATATAAATCAGAATTGATCATTAGGCAGTGATTGCTGACACAGAGAACCAGACACCTAAAAGCTCATTACATTGTTCGGTCTACTGTACTCTGAAATATGTTTGAAATTTTCCATAATTAAAATGTTTTTAAAAGGTGAAATCGGTCAATATGTGTCTGTAAGGAACAGTATATGTCAAAGGACTAAGGAGTTGGGATAGATTTTGCTCTGAGATTGCCAAATACTTTGAATGCCAAATGGAGTATTTTGCTTTGGGGAAGATTGTTTTCAATGATAAATGAGTTGGGCTAAAATTGTTATTTTTTCTGTGCGATCATAATTTGAAAATGTCTGCACATACTCTGTCACATCATAGGGTCTACTTATGAGAAAAATGAAAGAAACAAATTTGAACTTTAAGTTCATAAAAGATAATCACATTGAGAGAATGTGAAATATTTTTTGTGTTGGAAGTTAAATATGATTATTGTTATTTCTCCTTCAAATATATTCAGGTTTACATTACTGGGAAGACATATGGACTTCTTGGTGTTTTTTATTTGTTCTAAAATTTTATTTTATTAGGAAAATGCTGTTTCCATTTGAAAGATAGTTATATTGTTTTACTTTGGCGTACAAGAGCAATTGTTTTAACTCAGCATAAAGGCAGAGTATTTAAACATGCTCAAAGAATGTTCATATCAGGCCGTGTGCTGTTGGTGATTCACATTTCAGGATCTAAGGAATTTTAATTCTGAGATTTAGCTAGTAGTTTAGAAAAAGGATTGATTATACATTAGGATAATTAGGCTTACTTTCAAGAACTGCTCGCACAATCTCGAAAGTGGTTTAAATACATTGAATCTCATTTTGATGTATTTTAGAAAATGCGACTTTCCTTGCAGTAGGTGTCGTCAACCACAGGAATCTTCAAGTTGGGGAATATATAAGCTGGGCTGTGAAAAATTCTCCATAGGGTTTAGGGCCACTTAGATAATTTTAAGTGAATGACTTTCCACTTCCTTTTACTCCCTGCTAATTATCTTTTCACACCTAATCTTTAATACAATATTTCCCTCCTCATATGATAGAAAGTTCTAACTTTATAACTCTCACCCAGAGTGCTAACACCTTTGAGGTTGAAGAAGGGAATGTGAGGGGGACAGAGGGAAGAGTTCAAAGTATTGGTGTCCTGTTAAGAACTACATGACTATAATGATTGGATAACATATTCTTCTGCATATTGTGTGATTATAAATCCTATCGCTACAAACAAAAATGAAGGACATAATGCAGTTGTCTAATGATGTATCATTAAAAAATATTTGGTGAAAGATTATTAAGTGATTTTGGCATGCGATTCAGAAGGAGTTCAGAGAATTTGTGGCAATGTTCTAACAAAAGTTCATTTACTTATTTACGCAGACAAGATTTCTCAGCACTAACGTTTATAAAAGCAAAAATTGGGATAGTATTGACACTAAACTATTTTAGCAATAAGTAATATGCACTGACAGATTGTGAATTAGTTGTGAAAAAATGTCTCATCCAGAGAGGACATTTTAAGAAACTGTTACCCTCGTTTAATAATCATAAAATGTGTAATGTGTTTTTGATGTTTTGATCAATTGTGTTTGAATAATTATAATGATCATTTCAACCAGGAGATTTATTTTGGATAATTAAAGCTTATGTTCTCGGGAGGTCTATAAACCTTTTTTTAAATTTTAAATTTATATTTTTGTGGCAGGGAAATATGATATGGTGATCAATAAAAAACACTCAAGCATAAAATTGTATTACATTAAGATAAAATTATGTGGGGGAAGTGGTATAGAAATAAAAATGCAAGTGGAAAAATTGCCAATGTAAAATTCCTATTACAAATTTCTATTTTCAACGTTTATTTGTGTATTTTTAAGTGGCGGATATCAATTTACATGGACTATTTAGATTCCATTGGATAGTCAAAAATAGTGGGACAGTTATATTTTAAAAGCTAGTATGCTTATATGTGAGAAATTACACACTTTGTGACTACTTAAACCTAGGGAAAAGCTTAGCTCTTGTAAAACAGGAAATGATTGTGTCAGGTGTGTGAGTGAAGGTTGGAAGCCCACTGGTCCACAGCATGTTGGATGCTGCACTGGGTCTGGAAGGAACAGCCTGCATTTGTACAATCCCCTTTGAATCTAACTGGAGACGCTGCCTTTTGTTCACTAGGACGGTCTGACGCCGCTGCACTGTGGAGCCAGGAGCGGCCATGAGCAGGTGGTGGAAATGCTGCTCGATCGAGCTGCCCCCATTCTTTCAAAAACCAAGGTAATTTCTTCCTAGGTTTCGGGCCATTCGACTGTGCTTAGCTTTGAATCCCTTTCCTGGTTATTCCACGCAGCCTTTTGAGTTATGCAGAAAATGCCATCGTTTCCATTTAAGCAATTAGAGTGGCTGTGTTCACCAAATCTCTGGAGAACCTCAAAATCAGTTTGGGCTTATGAAGCCTTTGGTAAGAAGATGTTCTACCACAAAGCCATTTCTGCGTGTGTTGTTTTTGTTTTCTTTTTATCAGGAGCTCTTAGTGCTTGACTCTACTCTGTGATTGCTTGTTGGGGAAGGAAAGACTATAAGGTCTAGATTCTCTAAAGTCTAGCTACCGATTCTCTTTCATCAGCCTCTTGGTTTATTTCGTGAATGTTCGCAGACTAGTAACGAGGCCAGGGATGCCATCTGACGGATAGAGTGGAAACTTTGGAAAGATGGCACCTGGCTTGGTGCCACAGGGAAAGTTCACATGTCTGAAAAGAACACACGTGGATTGCCTGGAAACAAAAATGTTTTACTAAGTGTGTTCTAGATTTTTTAATGGTAAAACCATTTGACCGTATTTCAAAAAGGGAATATTTGTAAATAAATTTTGGAACTACCTCATAGTCACCAGTATTCTTATTAATCAATGATTTTGGAAGCTCTATGGAGCTTTATAAAGAGCCTTAATCTCCCAACATTACCAAAACAAAAAAATTACATGTAACTCCTGTTTGCACCCTAATCAGTGTTTCCTACTCTAGTGAAGATAGACAGGTTGGAGGTGGTCTCAACAATTCCATCACTCATTTGAAATGCAGAGTTTAGATTGGCAAGCTCTGGAGGTATTATCCTACGGAAGTAAACAGCCATAATTTCTTATTGTAGTGCTGACATCTGGGTCTCTTGGGTGCTTTCACCTAAACTACCTACCTGTTCCTTTTCCTTGCATATGGTCCATATCTATCTATCTTTACACCCACCGCTGTCTTCTGAGTCACAGCATCTCTCGCTGAACCATTGTAATAGCTTCATTGCTGGTTCCCCATTTCCCTCCTTGCTTCTCTACAATCCAGTTTCCATTTTGCAGTCAGAGTGGCCATATGAACTGTCCAACCAAGTCATGTCAACCTTGTGCCTAAAAACCTGAATAATTCCCGTTTTTCTCTTTAAAACTAATTTTTATTTTATCAAATAAAATCATATTTTTTCTCCTATTGTTCATTTCATTATCTATTGATGGGTTTTGTGGGGGTTTTTTCGGAGAAATCTCCTTATTTTTTCTTCAATGCTTTTAATATTCAAGAACAATTTCTTATCCTCTGATAGCTTCTTTTCTTAAAGCATCCAGCTCTTGTTTTATGGAAATAATATTTTATGTCACCTTCTGAGGACATTTAAGGCACCTTCTCTTTAGTGTAATTCTGCTCCGTCTCATATGTCCGTAATTCCTCAGATGTCTTATTTTCTCTCTGTTGGCTTTGGCTCACTCTTTCATGTTGGGGGTTTCCCACTCAGGTGCGTTAGGTGGTGGCAGGTTGGAGGGTCCTCTAAGGTCAGGATAAGCGTTCCATTTTTTGAGAGACTGAATTCTCCAACCTTTGATATGTATACTGGGTGAGTAATTTACAGCAGCAATTTTCAAATTTTTTCATCTCATGGCACACATACACTAATGACTAAAATTCTGTGGCACACCCAAAATATATTGTTTGCCTATTGGACAAAAAAAAATAGGTATAATTTTGATCCATTCACACTGGATGGCTATTGTTGTGTTGACTATTCTCATGTCTTTGTTTGACAGTATATGGGGGAAGAGGTCAGTGCCCCTGGCTAAATAGTCAGGTATTGCATGTTTTAAAAATTCATGCTGCACACCAGTTGAAAATAGTTGGTTTACAGTAAGGAAAAGGAAAAGGGGCTGTCAGTGTCCCTGTCCTATATGCATACTTTAATCATAACAACTCATAGAGTGAGTACTGCATACCAGTTTCTAAGCACTTTAATATCTCCTCCCAATAGCTCTATAAGATCCTAATATTACTATTATATCCTTTTTATAGATTAGAAAACTGAGACCCAAAGAAATAAAGTAGATTCCTCACGACATCTCAGCTAGTGGCAGAACAAGAGTTGGAAGCAGGCAGTCTGACTATAGACACCAGGCAACACCTGTACTGTGAGCACCTGGTCTCAGTCCAGAGCCTCACCACTGCTCTCTGCTCTGCCTGGGCCTCTGCATCCAGAGTCTTTCTGGCTTACTTTCTCCAGAGACTAAACTTCTGGCTTCCTGCATGGGGGCAGGCATCTGGTTTTGCTGGGTTGGAAGGGCCTGGAGACCTGACAGCTCTGTACACAGGGGAACCAGTCCTACTTTCTCAGCATTAAGCCTCATGTTTATCTTTCGAGAGTACTGTGTATCCACATCCCCTGCCTTTGGGGCATCAGAGAGGCAAATCCATTGTCTTTATTACACCCAGTGGCATGCTGGAGCCAGGTCATTGAGCCTATTGTGTACGCACATCTCGTCCCAGCTCCACCTCCAGTAATTTGATGTTGATCGCTTGAAATTGGTCGCTGAGGTCTTGACATCATGGGATTGGCAGATACTACGAATCAGGGCCTTCTTTTTCAAAGAGCCGCTGTTAAACCTTTATCAGCACACCACTGATTTTACCCCTCCATGGACACTTAGGTTTCAGCCTTCTTTCTTCTGCTGGGTAAGTTAACACCCTTATGTCCTCTTTTCATATTCCAAAATGTATAGACAGTGCCCATCTATTTTTGTTTCTTTTCCTATGTGTGTATGTGGCTTTCTGGGTGTGCGCGCAAATACATGTACATTCCCTTATGGATTTTGCCTTTCAAATTCCTTTAATGCTTTTTAGTGAGCATTTGGGAAAAGATGGATAAACACATATGTCTAATTTATCACATTTACCTGCAAGCTTCCCGTGTCCTGGAAATAAATTCTTACTAGAACTTGACCACTTTTCTGCCTCATCTCCTCTCGCTGGGCTCCCTACCATCTTCCAGACAGCTAGCCTTAGCCTCATTTCGCTTCCTAAAATACACCAAGTTTGTTCTCATTTCCTGTTCTCTTAGACTGAATTCCCTAAGCCTGTCCCAGATCACTGCAGTCTCCACATGTTTTTCAACTCAAATTTCTTTTCAGCGCCCTTCTTCTTCATCATTGGTTTATTTGTGTTCTCTCTCTCTCTCTCTCTCTCTCTCTCTCTCTCTCTCTCTCTCTCTCTCCATTAAAATGAAAGCAAGAACTTTGATTAATTAAGTGTGGTATCCCAAGCACATAAACTGGTGCCTAACATATATGGCAGCCCTTCGGTAAATATTTGTTGAATGACTATGAAGTGAATAAATGCATTCCTAACTGTAAGACCGTCTGTCTAATTCTTCAAGACTCATCTTTCTGAGCTAAGAAAACCCATCACAGTGGATCCGTATTTTCAGCTTGACGAAGGTGCCATGTGTAATAAGACCCCTCTCCACAAGGCAAATGACCTTTACTTTCTTCTTGTCTTTCCCCAGTGACCTATGCTACCCGCTCGTGTGTCATTAGCTTGTGTATCCTTAGAGGATTGCCCTCGTTTACTGACGCTGCTTTCCTTTTCTACTCTCCCTAAGTCACTAGTTCTCTCCGATTTTGTTATTTTGTTTACTGCATGTGTTCCTCAAAGACTGTATCAAAACCTAAAGCAAAGGAATGTTTTTGTTTTTTTTTTTTTTCTTTTTTTTTATTGATTTTTTACAGAGAGGAAGGGAGAGAGATAGAGAGTTAGAAACATCGATGAGAGAGAATCATCGATCAGCTGCCTCCTGCACATCTCCTACTGGGGATATGCCCGCAACCCAGGTACATGCCCTTGACCGGAATCGAACCTGGGACCTCTCACCACATGCGGGCGCACATGTACAGTGCAATTGAAACTTCGTGGCCCATGCGCATAAGTCAGTATTTTGTGGAAGAGCCACACTCAAGGGGCCAAAGAGCCAGATGTGGCTCGCGAGCCACAGTTTGCCAACCACTGTCCTAGAGGATTCAGTAATATTTGGTTCATCAGTGCATAATTACCATGCCATTATTTTCAAAGTTTACGATGACCACTTTTTTGGAAACTGAATTTGCTGTCACTTTTTGCCCCCCTAAAATATGTTAAATTATGTTACAGTAATTAACAGGGCCTTTCTTGATAATTGGATTCTCTAGGAATTTCCCAGGCTCCTCCAGTTTGCCTACACATTTAAAGGAAGCATGCTTGAAAAGACTGACAACTTTTTAATTGTTTTATTTTTAACTTACAGCTGACGTACAATCTTATGTTAGTTCCAGAATGACATAATATCTTGTTTTTGTCTTCATTAGGAAACGTACTGAATACTAAGTGCCACTCTAATCTTTTAAGGTTTTATTTACCTGTGAACCCATTCATGTCTTCTCTCAGCTCTTCACATGCATTTCTGACTCGTTCCTATTGCACATAATTAACTGTGTCATTGAACCCCCTTGATTTAAACTGAGGCAAGCTTCAGTTAATGGCTTGGCCACTGCCTTGCCTTTCCTCATTATAGACACATGGGGGCGCCAGATTAATGGGAAATGAAACATTGACGTGAGATGAAATGTGTTCTTGTAAGCAGGCCTTTTTATTCATTGAATCAATATAGTATTCAATACCAAGTATTAGCAACTCATAAGGACACAATGAAAGCCTACTAGACACCAACCTGTTCCTGCTTTTGTTTTATCTTTTTCAGTCTGAAAAATTAAGAATTCCAATTCACTGGGAATGCAATAAATAATGGATTTTAGTGCAACTCATACTTTTTCAATCAGAAAAAGAAATTATCTTTGAAAATGTGTTGATTTCTATTGATATAAGAATTCATAGGACTAGTTTTAAAAGTTCAAAACCGTTGTCAAAACCTTTTAAGCAATAGAAGGTATTTCTGTATAAAAAACTAGAGTTTTTAATCTGTTCATATCTGTGCTGTATTATGTGTCTGGCACATTTTTTTATTAAAAGGCAACATGATAAACTCTGATTCTCTTGTGTGTTCCAGAATGGACTGTCCCCACTGCACATGGCCACGCAAGGGGATCACTTGAACTGTGTCCAGCTTCTCCTCCAGCATAACGTGCCTGTGGATGACGTCACCAACGACTACCTGACCGCCCTGCACGTGGCCGCCCACTGTGGCCATTACAAAGTCGCCAAGGTTCTCTTGGACAAGAAAGCTAACCCCAATGCCAAAGCCCTGGTGAGTGTCTCTGCCAAAGGTCCAGATGTTGTCCTGCCGAGGACATGCTACCTCTGTATGCGAAGGGATTGCTTTTGAGGAGGTAAAAATGGAAAGTCTAATCAAACCAAGTGCACGTCTCCTCAACTTTTTCAAGTATCCTTCTGGGAAATCTATAAAACCTATTTCTGACACCAACAGGCTTGTGGGATTCGGTCGTTAACACCCTTTAGGGTCACACCAGTGATTCTCTTATGCAAATGAAACCCAAAGACCATGCAAGTATAAAATTCCTGAGGTGGTCAACCTTATCTTTCTGTAGGAAACGTTATAATCCAATGAATTAAAAGTGTTTTCTGAGGCAAAATGAGAAAAAAGAAAAACACATTATCTTAAACATGAGATGTCTAGGAATTTATGAGCTAAAATGCTATGTTAACCATGTGAGTTAATGACATATGGCCTGTCATCTACACAAATCTCAATGTTGGCCTAGTCTGTAGTCTTAACTCCTAAAATGATTTGCTATTTTAACCCTTAGCTCTGTATGGTAATTTGGTTTTCTCAGCAGGATGGTGTTTGTTGTCTTAGGAAAATAAATGGTCCCAATTTAGTCGGCTGTTTAAATTTAGTTCAGAAGAAGCACCCACGTTTAGGAAAAACTAACTCACCAAATGCTAGGGAGAGCCTGTGAGTGAATTCATAACTTTGAGCTGAAGGCTGCCATCCAGTCAGCCCTGTCAGGGAGGGTCCCTGCTCCTTTCTGGCTGTGGTCACCCTGGCTGAATGGATCTGCTGTCTGGCTCTGAAATCCGGGGTGGGCAGCAAAGAATGAGGAGAGGGGAGCTCTCCAGACCCCAGGCAGCTGCGTGACCATAGTCATTCTAAGTGCTTTTCTCAGAGCAGCATGTTGAAAGCTGTTGACCTGCCCTGTGTATCAAACATATCTTTAAATTCTGGGAAGGGAGGAAAATAAATTAGCAGTCATGACTCATTTTCCATACAAGAAAAAAAAAGCCTTAAAACAGGGTGTGGGCTCTCACTGTCATTTTCCTCTGACTCGAAAGATTTCGCAACACATAAAGGCTGTAGCCAGTCATCCTGACATGGACTCTGGCCAGGTAAAGGGAAGCACCTGCTGTGACTTTGACCTACGCTTTTAGAGTGGACCCCAGAATGTTAGATAGTTCTCTGTGGCAACTAAAAGACGCTCATGGTCTCAATGATGAGGCAGTAGGATTTGGTAGGTGATTTGTTTTAAATAAGCAGGTCCTTTTATCAGATTAAATATTAAACCAAATGATCCAAATAATGTTAGGTTGGGGAACTTTCTGCTTCCTTGAATTAAGCACCTACTTGGATCTTAAAGCTGGAAGGAATGAACACCTTCTAGAACTGGCCTTGTAGTTACCTTACCACGTAGCAGAGAAGTCAGAAGTCAGAATAGGCATTGGTGACCTTTGGGCTTTGAGGACAGGCGTCAGGGCCAGCTGTTTTTAGTCTGTGTTTGAAATGAGGGAGAGGAGGGACATATTATTTGGAAGAGTGAATTCCGAAATGAAGTCATCTAAAGGAATAGAGTGACCATTCTGCCTTAGCTCCCAGGGATGGTGACCAAAAAGAATTCCACAATTACCAGAGCACCTTGGGTTCCTAAGACCAGCGAGGCTACTGTGCTTCCAGAAAAAGATCTGCATTCTGCCTAGCGCCATGTCGTTACTGCTCTTTTCCAAATCTTTCCAGAAACACACGGTAGCAAAAATGTTGTACCACACTCAGTGGAATGGGATTTCAATGGGATGTAGTCAAGTGGATATGTGTCGTTGTCCCTTGCAGAATGGCTTTACCCCTCTTCACATCGCCTGCAAGAAGAATCGGATTAAAGTCATGGAACTCCTTCTGAAACACGGTGCATCCATCCAAGCTGTAACCGAGGTGAGAGGACTAGGACTGCTGGGTCCCCCGGTACTGAAAGGATAGCAGCCGGAGTCCCAGTGTCAGCCCCGATGACCAGCGAGTTTTGCTCCGTGCGATTGCCACAGTCTGCTCTCTGAGCCTTTCACCCAAGGGGCTGCGAGTCCCGAGGAGAGCAGACAAGAGCGTGGGTGGGTCAGTGCAGGTTCGTCACCGTGACTGGAAGCACAACCCCAAACAGGCTTCGCGCTCCGGGGGTGGGACTCCGTCCCTGAAAGCATCATTTATATGAAATCCTATAACTCAGTGCTTCTCAGAGGGAGCGCTTTTGCCCCCAAGGGACATTTGCAATGTCTGCAGGTTGTTTTTAGTGTCTCAGCTGGATGGTGCTACTGGCATCTAGTGGACGGAGGCCAGAGATGCTACTAAACAGTTGACAGTGTACAGGCCAGACTCCCACCGCAAGGAATGATCTGGCTCAAAATGCCAATGAGCTGAGAAACCCTGCATAATACAGCCTCTGTGTGTTTGAAAACTGTGGATTGCTCTCTATAAAAACTCAGAGTTAATGCAGCAGAGTGAAGGACTAGCTCTAGATTTCTTTTGTACAAACCAACACAGAACTCAGAAAAAAAGGCCCATCAGGATAAGGGCTAAGCCTTCAACACAGCCAAGCCGGCCTGGCATCTACTCTCCAGACTCCTCCCACCCCCCACCCACCCCATCCTAGCACGAGGTCTCTGTGGATTCTAGCCCTCAACACTGCCCTAGACTGGACACCCCTTCATTCATACCTCTCTGCTCCCTCCGTGTGTCACACACCCACTTCCCCAGGCTAATCCCACACATCCTCCAGGACCAGATCTAGGCCACCTTCTCCAGGAAACCTCCCCTCACCCCCTGACCAGATCCAGGACCTCTCCCCAGGATCACACTACTGCTGTGTGTACTTCCACCAAAGCACTGACTCAGCTGCTTTACTTATGACCCAGCCAGCCCCCTGCCCCTTAGAACCTGCAGGCTCCTTCTGGACAGGCGTGAGTCTTGCTGGTGTTTCTATGCCCACAGGGCCTGGCCCATAGGAGATCATTCAGAAAGGCTTGTTGGTTGCATCATAAAGACGATGAGATTTGAGGCCAACATAAAAGCTGAGATCTAGTCCAGTGATTCTCACATTACCTCATTCTCTGATCTAGTCTAGTGGCCATTATAGTATTTGCCTTAATTATATCACCTCAATGTATGATATTCATATAGTTAAAAATCAAATAAACTGAGACTGTTAATGTTGATTTGCTCATTTTAGCAGGATGACTTTGTGTTAGGCTCCATGATCTTTCACAAGTAATATAAGAAATGTATGCTGAGTGCATGGGAATCCTTCTTGAAGGCCAGAGAGGATTTGAAATGAGTCAACATTTTACTAGCACATCCTGTCTGGATTTGTAACACTCAAAATGTTTTTAAAATCACATGGTCGAAAATATTAATACTGATTTACACTTTTATCAGTCTTATGGCTTCATGGTAGACACCCTGTTTTTCAATTATAAAGTAGTAAGTTTATTCTCAGTGCATGGAAACCCCTTTTAAAGATTAGAATGTACTCTGGAGTAGAAGTGGAGTTTTGACTGATGTTTGAATAAATGCCCAGAGATGTCAGCTGGTGAGGAGACGGTCCCAGTGCCAGCCCTGGGCTCCCCAAGAGCTCTGTACACCAGCCCAGACCCTCATGAGGGCTTCACCTTGCACACATTTTGACAACTCCCCCTGCTGACGGAAAAAGGGCTCCATGTTATAACAAGTCTTTTCCCGTTTTTCCTCAGTTCCCACTAGTTGAAATCGGTGCAACCAGAATTCTTCCCCTTCTGTCTTTTACCTCACTTTTACCCTAGAGAATTCCTTTTACCTTTTTTTTTTTTTTTCATTATTCAAATTTCTATGGACATTTGCTATCTCCTCCTCTCTCCTTAAAAAATAAAAGAGCTTTTTCTAGCCATTTTAAGTATTTTTACCAAATTAGGATGTTCATGTTGTAAGTGGAATTATATTCTGAAAAATTAAAAATGTAATCATTTCATGTAAAAGGCAGAAGTGTTATGAGTTGTGTTGTATGTCGGCTTTGAAGCAAACTTAAAAATGAAGGTCTAGCCCAGCCCGTTGGCTCAGTGGGTGGATGGGTGGGTGGGTGGATGGTAGGCGGCGGTTGGGCAGGCAAGCAGAGAAACCCTTTTTATGATAAGACTACAAACCAACATTCCCCTCTTCTCCCCCCAGTCGGGCCTTACCCCAATCCATGTTGCTGCCTTCATGGGGCATGTGAATATCGTCTCACAGCTAATGCATCATGGAGCCTCCCCAAATACCACCAACGTGGTGAGTATCCTTTTCTCAGAGAACGGCCAGTTGTGAGTATTTACTATACTGGCAAAGGTTGCTCTTCCCTACTTTGTTGTTGTTGTTGTTATAAGTAAATTAATTGACATCACACTAGTATTAACACACCAGACCACAAGCATAACAATGCTAGTTGGACCCATGAGTGCCAAAGGAGTGAAAATAAAACCAGCAACATTCTGGCTCAGAAACAGCAAACCAGAAGTTTCCTGTACACCCACCCTGAGGGTGTGCCACCAACAAGGGTCTCTACTAGCAACCAGAATCAGCACCGAAACAGACCAGCTTCTCAGTGCAATACAGGCTTTCCTGGCACTAACACCATGGGGAGGTTTTACCATATACTGGGTTATATGGTAACTACATCCTCAAGATCTTTCCAGTAAACACATTAGCAAGTTTTGTGTGAAATATGTCTTTGTTATATATCACTTATGGGAGAGAATATATTTTATTATTACTTTGTTTCTGTCTATCCGTGTCTTCCATACTGTTTTCATTTTTGTTGTTACATAAATGAATAATCCGAATTAAAGTCTCCTTAATGAAATGGAGGGATAGGTGGTGTGGGGCGGGGGGGGACTTAGTGGCAAAGAAACTGACCCCTTGGGTTAATGCCCGAAGGCTAGGAGGCTGATCTGATGAGGTGAAGCAGAGAAAGCACACTGGCAGCCAGCAAGCCCACTCGGGCCCTCATGTGCGTCTGTGTTGCCCATGCAGCACTTTGGTTTCTGTTTAGTTTTCCAGTCTGGTTTTGTGGTCAACATGGAAGTGCACACAAATAGCCAGGCTGCCCCTCCTTTTGAATAGGAAGGCGTGGCCCCCTGCACAGCCCCACAGCTGCCTGCAGACCTCACGTAGTGGCCCCCACCTTCGGGCAGGCCCCCGGCTCTTCTGAGCTCACCCCACCTGCCCTCTCCACTCATGTATCCTCCTCTCCCCCTGTGAGCATTCACCTTTCCACCCTCAAAGAGGCCACCTTGAAGGTTCCTGGACAGCACTTCTGACACTGTGATGACTAGGCCCCTCGGCTTATACCAAAGTCCTCCCTTCCTGGATCAGGTTCCTCTGAAATTCTTGTGCCTTTCATCTCCTGTCTCTCCTAGCCTTCACTGAGGAAGTGCTTGGGACGTTTTTTTATTTATAAAATATGAAGCCGACATCATAAGCTTCATGCAGGTGAAGCTTACCACTCTTCTTCGGAGCTGCAGTAACTTTGTTCCGACTCTTCTTCCCCAGAGAGGAGAAACAGCGCTGCACATGGCAGCTCGGTCCGGCCAGGCCGCAGTCGTGCGGCATCTAGTGCAAGACGGAGCTCAGGTAGAAGCTAAAGCAAAGGTCAGTGCGATTCCTGGAAGCATTTGCTATTGATGGGGAAAGTCTTGATTTTAATAAACCCTTTAAATATATGCATGCCATCTTCCAAGAATACTTCTTTAACGTAGTGAGCAACCTCCACTGGAAAAAATCTCTACCCAAGTGACATTGTAAAAACATCCCTTCCCTGTACGGTTGTCCATTCAGTTATTTAATGGGATTAAATAGAACAGGCACAGTGTGCCAGAAGGAACTTCGTGTCCTTGGCACAGGGTTGGTCCTGAACAGATTAAGAAACAAACCTAGACTCAGTCCAGAGTTCTTCACACTCTGTAGAGAGGGGCTTATGCACAGGCTTCTAGGATAAGCACAGTTTGGAAGCATCACTGAGCTCATTTGGTTCACTCGCAGGCCAGCTGTCACAGCCACAAAGGAAAAAGGAAGTTTTAACTTTTTCTCTACAAGTTGTGAAACCATAAACCCTGGGACGAAGGTCAGAGTTGTTTCAGGGATCTGCCTTTGCATGAAAAAAGGAACTCCAGGGTTAAATTTGAATGCTTCGCCCTGGCCTGGTGTCCAGCCCCCAGAGGAAACCCACTTTCCTGTCAGTATTCAGGATGTATAGTTGGTCTGGTTCTTCAAAATGGCAGTTCAGGTCAGGAATTGTCAGTAAACACATCAATACCTTAATCATTTCCTTTCAACATACAAGACATGCATGTGTATTTATTTGCGATTTATTTCTGTGATCTGTAGTTCCTAGTTTGGGGTGGAGAGGAAATAGATATCCGTGAAGCAGTGGGAGTGCAGAATATTTATAACCGTTGGTAATTTTCTCTCGGTGTGTTCAGCTGTCTCACCCATATCTAATTAAATCATAATTGCTTTTTATCAACATCTATCTAGGCTTTCCAAAGCTTTCAACTCAGTATTCTTAGTGGGAAATACAGCCTTTCCTGTCATGCTCATTTTTTACCTGTGAACATATTATTTATTGTATAATTAAAGTAATTAGTGCACAAGTAGTACAAATTAGGAGAATAATTAGTGCAAGCATACCACAGTGAGAATAAACCGAACTAGGTCTGGGTAAGCATGAAGTCTGCAGGGGGAGGCGAAGGTTGTGGCATTCTAAGCAGCAGACCGCAAACCTCAAGGGTCTAGTGTTCTGTGGCACCAGTTCGTGGATGTTGTAGAGGATCTAGAAACAAAGGTCAGCAAACTTTATCTGTAAGGATCAAAGAGTAAATATTTTAGGCTTTGAAGGGTGCAGCATTGCTATCACAGCAGCTCAACTCTGCCATTGGAGCAAAAGCAGCCACAGACAGTGCATCAGCAAATGGGCATGTCTGGGTCCCAATAAAACTTTATTGACAAACAGGTGGCAGCTGGATTTGGCTGCTGGAGTGTAGTTTTCTGACCCTTGATCTAGAGCCATGGTTCTCAACCTTGGCTGCACATTAGATCACCTGGGAATCTTTTTAAAATCCTGATTTCTGGGCCTCATCCTCCGGAAATTCTGTTTCTTTGTTACTAATGTTGTGGCCCCACCCCATAACAAAGAAACAGAATTTCCAGAGGATGAGGCCCAGAAATCAGGATTTTAAAAAGATTCCCAGGTGATCTAATGTGCAGCCAAGGTTGAGAACCACTGGTCTAGAGGATATTGGTGAATCCACTTAATCAGTTAAGTGGAAGAGTTAAGAGAAGTTATACTGTACCTTGGATTATAGAAAAACTCACACTTATGAGTGCTGTTATTCCATACCAAGCATTGTGTCAAAGGAGTGGTTCTACCCATCAACTGAAATTGAGGATTTTTGGTTATCAATTTGTTAAGGAGGCAGCATGTATCATGGTTAGGAGCCTGACTTCCTCAGCCGCACTGCCTGTATTTGGACCTTGGTCTACCAATTACTAGCTGTGTAACATGGGGTAGGTTCAGGATTCTGTGCCAGGTTTCCTTTTCTCATTTCCTCACATAGCAAAGGAGACTAGTGATCGTGCAATTCATAGGACGGTTGTGATGATTAAAAAGGTACGGTAGGGGCAGTACTTACAGCCTGGGGCAGGTAGGTGCCCAGGACATGTTTAGTGGTGGTGGTGGCAATTGTAGAGTTTTATGAAATTTTCCTTTGGCAACTCTCTCTCTCTGTTTTCAGTATTCCTCTTCTTCCTCATAGCATCTCCCCTAATGCTTCCTGCTAGTAACATAGTAGGTAGGAAGTTTTGACCTTGCTTTGACCTTGACTCTCATCTTACTACCCTTCCAAAGCAGTATCCTGTGCTGCACCCTCTTCTCTCCACCTTCCCTACGTAAAGTATTTACCTGAACTTTTTCACATTCAAGCAGGGGATTTCTTTGTGGAGGACCACCATAGAGCATCTTTGGACAAATGAGGAATAGATGCCTCTCCCACTTGGGCATAGGGACCTAAGGGACAGGACTTAGTGAGGGCCTTATGCATTTGGGTGAATTGTATAAGGTGCCCCTCCACTTGAGGCAGATGCAGCCTATGCCAGGATGTACAACTTGGCAAGTAGAGGGTAGGCTGGCTTTCAGCCCTGTTGGCTGGGAGCTGTTTTGCTGGTGTACCTGTACAGGCCTATACTGCCCCCTCAACTCTTGGTGATGGGAAGACACCACCAATAAATTTCATCCCATATGAGTGCGTTATAACTGGTGGAAGTTTAATATCCCTCCTGGGTATTTGAGGTTTACCAGGATTTATTTCCTTATCTCCCAAAAAAGGAGCCATTAGATATTAAAAACTGATAAAGTATGGCAGGTGGTAGTGGAAATAATTTATAGATAGAAATGTCTTCCATACTTTCATACTAATAGTTTGGTAGAAATGTATTTAAGCTTAGGTTTACCATCTCCACCCTTCTGAACCTTGAGGAAAAGGTAAATGAGATTCTCTTTATTATTGAGTAAGAGTTGGACTTTAGTTTCTGATACCAGGCAATTTGCTAAATGTTTCTCAAGGGTACCATTGTTTTCTCAGCTAATCGGCCTTGCATTTCCTCCTTGCCATTTAGGATGACCAAACCCCACTGCACATCTCAGCCCGATTGGGGAAGGCGGATATAGTCCAGCAGCTGTTGCAGCAAGGAGCGTCTCCAAATGCAGCCACAACTTCTGGGTACACCGCCCTCCACCTTGCAGCCCGAGAAGGGCATGAGGACGTGGCCTCATTCCTTTTGGATCATGGAGCATCTTTGTCTATTACAACAAAGGTGTGAAAACAAGTCTTGGAATCCTACTCTGTCCCTCCAAATACATCCTCCTTGTAATCCCCAATGTGTCCTTACAATTTCTGCTGTGTTCTCCAAAATACATCCTCCTCAAAATTCCTTAGTACCTGTTCCCAGCAACAGGTACAACGGTTGTATATCATCACCTACACTTGGGATCCCAGGGTAGTCCCAACATGGCCAGCAAAGCCCTGGAGTGGGGGAGGGTAGTTAGGGTATGTGTAAGTTTGTGTGTGTCTGTGTGTCTGGCTTAAGTTTCTCAGTACATTATCTTCTAATGAAAACGCACTGATATCAGAGTCAGATACTTCTTGAATGTTATTTGATAGATTTAACTGGTGATTTTAAAAACATAGCCAGAGATTTCTCTAGCTGGGACCATGTATGTAAACCACATTATCAAAGCTCAGTTGGTTGGTATTTTTATACTACTTTCAAATCAGGAGGAGAAATTTTTTTGGGGGGGGACAATTTTTGTTGTTGTCATTCCTTTTGTTACTATTGTGTTGTTTGACTTATGCTCTGATTTTTTTTAAATCTTGACTCTGATACCTTAGAATGGTAGTGTTCCACATAATTGCTCTGCAGATGCAAAATTTAGAGGTCTTTTTTTTTAAGTTACTGTTTAAACCTTGTAGGTGTGGTAGGAAGATAGCTGGAAATGGTGTTGCACTATCTTATTTGGGTGCAAAGAAGAAGCATTAATGTATAACCAATGAGCAAGATAATTACAATAATTATAAATACTTGGTAGTAAACTATCTGGGGGGAAAAATGATGACGACCTTAAACTTCGCCTCCTGTGATTCTTTAGGCTCTTCGGGAAAGTTGAGATGTAAGTTCCTGGATCTCATTCAATGTGTAAAACATTGGGGTTTTGAGTGCCCCAGCCCATTCACCAAGCCAGCTGCCCACTGGCTCTAGTTGGCTATAATCTCATGAGGTCGAATGTGTTGATGACCCTGCAGTCCCTGTCTCATGTTTGGGTCCCTCCCTAACGGGAGAAGTGCTAGATACCCAGATCCTTGTAGGAGCTGAGAGCAAGGGAGATTAGTACTCAACCTCAGTGTCCAACTGTACTTGTTTATTGGACTAGCACCTGGTGTTCTTATTCAGTTCAGTTCACCTGTGTGTGAGGACCTCTGGCTCCTACTCCTGAAGACTGGAACAAACATAAAGATATGTGCATACATGTGGAAAAAGCGAAATGGGAAGAGAAAGGCTCCAGTCTGAAATTATGGGAGGACCAGATTTGCCCTGGATGTTCCCAAGCCCACCAAATCCAAATTGCACCTGGGACTCTGGAACCTATTCTTCCTACAACATGAAATCCCAAAATGGCCCTAGAATAAGCCCCAGATCCAGCTCTCCAACCTCATCCTGGTCTGAGGGCCACTTAGTCCCAGCGTCAGTGGCCTGCTGTGGCTCAGTCAGCGCACAGAGAAGTGAAATATCCTGCTCTTCCTTGTTGGCGAGGGGACTCTCTAACTGTCACCTACCCGTCTTGCCTCTTAAGTGCAGCCTTACCTGCTCCTCCTCATTAATGATTCATCAGTTCCAGAAGAGAGATGCCCTTCGGTCATTTCTATTGTTCATTATTTTTATGTTTCATTTTTCAGAAAGGATTCACTCCCCTTCATGTGGCAGCAAAATACGGGAAGCTTGAAGTAGCCAACCTCCTGCTGCAGAAGAGCGCGTCTCCTGATGCCGCTGGGAAGGTAGGGGGTCACCAGCCACCCTGTATAACAGGCCCCTTCCACGATAACAAAACACTCACTTGCTGTTATTCACCACCAGCCACCTACTAGTAAATGATAACCATAGTTAAGTCTCATAGGCCAAGGAACACTGGAAATAGGTGAGTGCTGGGGTCCAAGTGTTGTGGCAACTGCAGTGTAAAGTGCACTCTATGTTGTACCCGATCTAATCCCGTCTCCTAACTCTAGGCCTCGGATGTTAAGACACTGTTGACACTGGTTGTTTCTGCACGTGTTTTCAGAGCGGGCTAACTCCACTGCATGTAGCTGCACATTACGATAACCAGAAGGTGGCCCTTCTGCTTTTGGACCAAGGAGCCTCACCTCATGCGGCTGCAAAGGTACCTGTAACTCGACGGCATGAGGACACTGGCAGGCAGTGCCCATCCATCTCTACGTCCACTTCCACTTGCACAGAACTATACGCTCCTAGGGAATCTGTGCCTTCAGCTATTTAGTCAACTCATCTAGTAGATGCTCAATAAATATTTACTTGTCAGTTGATTTTCCTTGAAAATCCAGGACATCCTGGAGCCTGGGGAGGACATGAAGTTCAGGTACTCGTGAGCCAGATGAGAAACATAAGTGCAAGAGAGTTCTGATTTGTCAACGTTATAAAATATGTGCTGCATTTTCCCAGGCTGTAAAACAGTGCCTTCGAGTTATTTGTTTCATAAACTAAGTTGGGAGGTTTTGCTTATGTGTTTTTAATATTGCTAAGGGGAATCATTATTCTTATTGTTAAGGCATTTTTGAGCAGTTAGACAACCTAGATTTCTCAGAAAAGAGATGCATGGAGTGTATGGCTTTTTTATCCCTCTGGTATTTGGATTCGAGAGGTATTTATTGAAAGATAGGTAAATGGAAATATGCTTTAGGAAGTGCTGTATTTTTGCGCAAGTGGCTATGATCAGGAACATTGGAGTGACACAAACCACAATCTAACTGCTGCCCAGTTCTTTCACTAAAGATTATTGGTTGAAGGAACTTTAGCATCCCTAATGCTTTTTATATATCTTTGTTTTACTCTTCCACTTTGGGAACCTACAGTGCTCTTCCTTAAACTTGGTGTTTAGATCAGTGATGGCGAACCTTTTGAGCTCGGCGTGTCAGCATTTTGAAAAACCCTAACTTAACTCTGGTGCCGTGTCACATATAGACATTTTTTGATATTTGCAACCATAGTAAAACAAAGATTTATATTTTTGATATGTATTTTATATATTTAAATGCCATTTAACAGAAAAATCAACCAAAAAAATGAGTTCGCGTGTCACCTCTGACACGCGTGTCACCGGTTCGCCATCACTGGTTTAGATCAAACCTCTGGTACACACAGATCAATGAACTTGGGCTATTTTAGATTACTTTGGATACTTTAAAAGAAGTGTTAGGTGCCTTCTCCATTTAGAGAATAGGTTATCTTTCGGAGGAATTTCTCCTCAGAACCTCTTTTTATGTCTTTCTCAAACATTTCCTACTCCATCCTCTCCAGAATTATACTCCATGAAATCTACAATTCAAAATCAAGCTCTCAGACTTGCTTTGCATCTAAATGCAGCTTTTCTTCCATAATTTCAGACTCTCACAAACATTCTTTCTCATAAAATAACCATGCCTTGACTTTAAAGAAAACAAAACTGTATCTAAAAAGAAAGAAAACAAATAGCAGCATTATTCACAATAGTCAAAGGTGGAAGTAACCCGTGTCTATTGAAGGATGACTAGATAAACAAAATTTAGATTCTTCGTACAAAGGAGTATTATTCAGCCTTAAGAAGGAAATAAACGCTGACACATGCTGCCATATGGATGAACCTCAAAGACATTGTGCTAAGAGAAATAAGCCAGTTCCACACAGGACAAATATTGTGTGATGTCACTTATACAGAGACAGAACGTAGAATGCTGTTTGCCAGAGGCTGAGGGGAGGAGGACATGGGGAGTTAGTATTTAGTGGGTACAGAGTTTCTTGGAGCTGGATGGTGCTAATTGTTGGAGAACAATTTGCATGTACTTAATGTATTTAAAAATAGTTAAAATGGAACGTTTTGTGCTATGTATATTTTACCACAATTTTTAAAACAAAATGTATAATGAAATGTAATGCTTGTACATTTCATTTCAGTTCACTTTAATATCCCTTTGAGCCTGGGCCACTTTTCATGTTATAAACAACCCCAGGTTATTAATAAATAAATAATTAATAAGTGAACTATTTATTTCTCACATGTGAGCAACCATTTTGACACAACTAGTGCCAAGCAGTTTGTAAGCACAATAAAATGAGTCCAGTCCACCTTTCCATCCACAAAATAACTTAAATCAATAGTTGATACGTTTGTGGTTGATTTTTTTCAGCTTTAAATTTGTCCAAGACTTTGTATTCATGGTTTTGCATCTGCAAAACATTTTTGACAAAGAATTAAAAAGCAGTTCTTGAACTAATTCCTTATAACAGCCCTTCAGCCTTGGGCTATCTTTTACAGTCAGTTGAACACGGGCTTTTCTAAAGGGACATTCCCTCTCATTCCCACAGCACAATGGACCCAAAAGAGCCTCTGTAATGCCATCTCTCCACATTTCTCACTACTCCCACTTCCAGGGCAGTGATCCTGGTCAGGAGCGTCTGTGTTTTTTAGACTTTGATCCTGAGCAAAGGCACTTGGGGGTTGGCATCATTTGCTAGGAAAAAGGCCTACCATAGTGGTTTAAATTGATGAGAGTCCATTTTTCTCATGCCCATTAACAATCTTTTGGGTTTTCCCTCCAGACGTTTTTGTTGCTTAGTCAGCCAGGTCTTGCATCCAGCAGGAAAGAAAGTCAGACAATAGGGTATTCCTGTAAGCTCCACCCAGCCATTTCTCTTTATATCTCATTAGCCACTTAATTTTGCAAGGGATGATGGGAAATGTAGTTTTTCACCTGGACAGAACACCAGAGTTTCATTTAAGGAAGGAGGGAAAATGGATCTAGGGTAGGCAAATGGCGAGAGAGAGAGCTCAGGAACCTCTGAGTTCTGGCTGTGGTGAGAAACAAAGGACAAAGGCTCTAGAGGACATGATTAGCATTTGGTTAAGACAGCAATGACAATGTTAACTCTTACTTAATTCACATTCTTGGTTCTCAGAGTATGTGATGCTTTCTTCTGGCCTTTCTTCTCTTTTGTAGGATTGACAGTATGTTTTCTTAGCCATACTTAACCTAGAAACATGATGTGATTTTTGGTATTGTGGGATGGGGGCTGCCTAAAAAGTAGATGGGCTTCTATAATCCATTTTATCCTGAACTATTTCCTTAGGCAGATACGGTTGGCTTCAGTTTAGGCATGACTTGGGCACTACTAGTGGAAGGGATAGTGAGCCTTAACTTTTTGTTTGTCCGATTTCTCTCCCTTAAAATGTATAATATATCTATTAATGAGGATCAGCAGAGACTGAAATTTTTGGAAAAAATACTGATGTAAATATATTACTTTTGATCATTTAAAATTACATTTGCTTTTGTTTTAATCTTTGCCCTCTACATCCAGAGGGGGGAAAAAATTTTGGTTAACGTTACTCTACAGTTGAATCACTATTTTATTTCTCTTCTGATAAATGCATCTGTCTCCTTTAGTGTGGCAAGGAAGAAACAGTTTACTTTCTAGAAATTAGAAAAGCTAAGGCAATTTAGAAAATCCCATTACAGGTCTCAAGATGAACTGTTTCTTATTTGAAATGTCTTGTTTATTATCCCTAAAGTCTTTCAAAATTACCTTTCCATCCTACAGTAAGGCCATGATTTGTTTAACCCCTGGCTTCATGTTTCCCTTTGGGTCTCAGGTAAGGAGCTCAGCAAAGAATTGACCTGTGCTACAGAGTGCCAGAGCTTCTCTAGATTCGTGTTTTTAGAGTCTAGGGGTTTTTGGTGGAATTAGAGAGGATTGTCATATCTCAGAGGATACTGATCTGCCTTTACAGTTGGAGAAGCAACCAACTGGAAGGTTATTATCAGTAACAAAAGCAATAAAAAAAAAATGACAAGTTGCATGATATGAAGCTAAACTCTATCTTGCCTTTGCCTCTCTTATGGACTAATCAGAATTCCTGTTTTAGCACCGCTTTGTGAATTTTCCTTTTCATATAGGGGTGGGGACGCTGTTAGCTCACCCCCTCCTGTCTGTCACTCACTGCAGAGTCCAAAGCTCTCATTTCTGAAGGCCATCGCTGAAGGGTGTGTCTGAACAAGGACCAAATGCTTCCCAGGTCAGCTGGAGTTTCCAGATGGCAATAAGTCAAAACTAAAAATAGAGATATAAAATTGTCTTCCACCCTGGCTCGTCCCGTTTGGTAGAGGCTGGTTTCACAAGAGTCTGGAAGCGGCATTTCCACTTTCATGGGTTGATAACCAATAGTTTAAATCGTTTCTCTACACTTGATTGCAGAAAGAGTATTTCTCAAGAGCAAAATGCTCTCATGCTAGGGTATACCAATGACTTAAATGTGCGAGCTGGTTGCAGTGGGCTAGCCGATCAGTAGGACAGCACCTTCTGTGTTGTTTCTGACTCATCCACGTGGCTTGGAAAGACTGCGACCGATCCACTGTCTGAATTTAGATCATATTCTCAATTATAAATCCTTAGATTCTGATGTGTTGTTTCTCTCTCTCTCTCTCTCTCTCTCTCTCTCTCTCTCTCTCTAAATCCTCTTGTCTATAGAAATCAGTCTAATTTTTATTGGCATATTTTATATAGTCAGATTCATGTTCATGTCAAAATGTAATCTTGCGTTTCTGTTAAATGACTGTGAGCCAAGACAAGGTCCCTTAAGGGCAGAGGACTCTGAAGGTTCCTAAGGCACAGCTAACTCTTAATTTGTCAAAAGACCCAGCCGGTATGGTTCAGTGGTTGACCATTGACCCATGAATCAGGAGGTCATGGTTCGATTCTGGTCAGGGCACATGCCAGGTTGCAGACTCGATCCCCAGTAGGGCGTGTGCAAGAGGCAGCTGATCAGTGATTCTCTCTCATCATTGATGTTTCGATCTGTCTCTCCTTCTCTCTTCCTCTCTCTGAAATCAATAAAGGCATATTTTTAAAAAAATTTGTCAAAGGAATTTGGGTTGTCTGTTCCTCTGAGCATTAAGGGTCAGATAAGAGAAAGATCAGAGAATGTTCTCAAGCTCTAGTAAGATTGACTCAAATTCTGAGTTTTCTCCAGTCATTGTGAGATACTAGAGATACAAAGACAAATATAACACAATACATGCCTTCAATAAATTTATATTTTAGTAGGAGACACATATGTAAATAATAATAAATATTACTATATATCCAAGATAGCTACTAAATATATCCAGGACTTTGATTGGAGTCAGTCAAGTGGGGAGCAGGTGTAGAAGGGAGCAGGGGCAAAGTAAAAGACTTCATGAGGGTGTGACCCTTGAGCCGAATCTTTAATGGATAGATGCTGGCCCAGAGGGCATGCTGGGGAAAGTATTTTTGGTACAGTAGGCAAGACAGAAACATGAGCTGTATGTTGTTGTGGGAAAGGGTGCAGCTGAAACATAGCATAGAGACTGGAGTTTTGTGAAAGAGGCAATGAGACGATCAAATAGGGGTAGATTACAGCAATCGACTACCATGAAAACTAAAAATTTCAACCTGTAAGCAATCAAAGGGACTTTCAAGATGGAATAATGGATCTGAACATGACCATTTTGTTTGTTGTTTCCTAGTAGGTTTTCCTCTCACCCCCAATTTAAATAAAGCAAGTAATTATTGAGCACCTACTAACTTAACTCCCTGTAAGGGGGAACCCTATCTTCCTTTTGTAAAACCAATGTACTCTGACTCTTGCATTAAACTGTTTAGAAGTATTATACTTTCCCTTGTTAGATGTGGGAGACATGAGGGCGCTACATTAATGACACTGCCTGATTTATCACTCTTTGCTTATTTAATCAAGATTTAAAAAAAAAAAATTAAAAAAATCAATAGAAAGGGAGGCATACTGTTTTGAAAATGTACTGCGCACGTTTTTATCTTGTGACCGGGCATGTGACCAAGTGGTTCATGTTGACAGAATGGTTACACGCCACTGCACATCGCTGCCAAAAAGAACCAGATGGACATAGCGACAACTCTGCTGGAATATGGTGCTGATGCAAACGCAGTTACCCGGCAAGGAATTGCTTCTGTCCATCTTGCAGCTCAGGAGGGTCACGTGGATATGGTGTCACTGCTCCTCAGCCGAAATGCCAACGTGAACCTGAGCAATAAGGTAACCTTTTTCTTTCTCCACAAAGTAGACAACACAACAAAACCTCACCTCCCAAGAAAGTCATCAGGAAGTCACAAAAAATCTGGGTCAGATAGGGAGTGTAAAGTGTAATGTCACAAGAAGATGTTTACCAAAGTATTAATTATCATGGCAAAAACTTGGAAACAATCTGTTTAAACAGTAAGAGAATGGGAGGTCAATAATTGCACAGTCATACAGTTGAGTAACATATAGTCATGAAAATGAAGTCCACAAAGTTTATCTAAAAACATGAAGTTGTGTTATAAAGTTCATTCAGAGAGTAGCATTGTTATTTCACCAGAATGTAACAAGTGAGAAATTGTAAACAGTAGCCTGTTGATTCATTCCACAGACATGTTTGGGGCACCTACTTCTTGCCTATCTCAGTTTAAGTCCTAGGTTACAAAAAGAAATTGGAAATCGTTCTGCTCTCTAAGAGTTCATTTTAATAACAGAAACTTAAAGTAGCTATCTTATTCAATAAATTGGAAAGGTGGTTAGTTTACACGTTTAGTCTTCGTATGTAAGTTAGCGGTTCTGAGGAACTTGTAAAGACTGTTCCCAAAATTCTTCAAATTCCGGTCCTCATATTTGACATTCCTATTATTAGTGAAGAAAGCCCCAGCCCACAGTTGAGCAAAGACTGACTGCAGTATTGTTGCATATATCAGAGAATTAGGATTTGCTGACTACCTATGAATGAATACCTGCGTCTGAGATCTGCCCAAAACACAGAATGGATGTTTCTAAGTCTTCAAACAGCACACCCCCTGCAAGAAGGCCCCCAAATTCTTGATAATTGAAACTCCCCAGCAGTTAGCTTTTCCTCGCCAGTTAGTGATGGCGCAGCCGCGGCATTTCTCAGCTGAAGCTCAGATATTGGAGTAGAGTTTCAACATAGGAATAGTTTTATGGTGACAAACAACAAGTTCTTTATTTTTAACACATGTGGCCTGTGTTTCAGAATCACGGAGGATTTAAATCCTAAATCGAACTCTTAGTGGAGATGTGTCATTTGGGCAATTTGTGTGAGCTCTCTCAGCCTCAGTTGCATCCTCTAGTAAAGATAATATTTACTTCACGGAGATGTCATGAGGATTAACTAGATAACATTCAGCACCTTCACAGTGGAAATGAGTAATCGTATTCATTTTGGACTTTGTACAATTTTGTAAAAAAGGTTACTCTGCACTAATCTGAGTCCCCGAGGTTGTAATTTAACAAATTCTCTAGACCAAAAGACCAGGGAAATCTGTCTCGCAGCTTTAGTATCTTGAAGATCCTTTTTGATCATTACAGAGCGAATACCTTTTTCATTTCCCTTTTTTCTGGTGTATCAGTTTGATTTTCTCATATCTTTTTAAACGTCCCTTTTAGGAATGCATGTCTCAGCAGTAATGGGACTCACAAAGCAATGTCAAATAGTTATTTTGATCAGGACTTGTGTGAGCTTGTGAATTGTCTAAGGTTCATTACCAGTATGTGAACCAGCCTGCTAAGAGTTGGCTACAAAATTCAACTTGTCTACATGAGGTAGAGAGCCTGGCCTTCGCAAAGTGAAGCACATACTGGCATCCAATAGTGGTTCTCAACCTGTGGGTCCCACCCCTTTGGCAGTCGAATGACCCTTTCGCAAGAGGTCGCCTAAGACCATCCTGCATATCAGATATTTACATTATGATTCATAACAGTAGCAACATTACAGTTATGAAGTAGCAACGAAAATAATTTTATGGTTGGGTCACAACATGAGGAACTGTATTTAAAGGGCCAGAAGGTTGAGAACCACTGCCTAACTAGAGTGTATTTTCTCTTGTGTGCCCAGAATATCGTATCTCATTCATTCTCGCAGAGACAAAGTAGACCTGAACAATTGGTTAACAGGTTCACATTTTCAGTGGGTTTGATATTAAAATATAGTGTGATTGACTGGCTTTTTCTTTTCTTTCAAATTCTCCAGTCAAGTGGATATTCACCTTAGAATCATAGGTTATTTTTAGGCGGATAATACTTTAGAAAGAATTTGTCAGTGTTTGCTTTGGTAGACGGGGCATCGAAAGGCAATTCTAAAGACCAAAAGGCATAGGTGATAAACCGTCAGCCACCTTCCTGAATATACATAGCGATACTTCCAAGGACAGTTTGAAGAGCAGATCAACTGGCTTCGCATTAGCACATGGTTCTTAAGGAGCTTTCAAGAACTTCGCAGGACCAAGAAACTGCAGTGATGGCGAACCTCTTGAGCTCGGCGTGTCAGCATTTTGAAAAACCCTAACTTAACTCTGGTGCCGTGTCACATATAGAAATTTTTTGATATTTGCAACCATAGTAAAACAAAGATGTATATTTTTGATATTTATGTTATATATTTAAATGCCATTTAACAAAGGAAAATCAACCAAAAAAAAAATGAGTTCGCATGTCACCTCTGACACGCGTGTCATAGGTTCGCCATCACTGGACAATGGCATGTGTAAATCTTTGCTTCCCTTCTCACTTGTTGTTTTCTGTTTTAAATAAGCCCTGGTGTGAAAGCAGATCATCAGCAGAACATTATCATCCAGGAGGGACTCGGGCAGTTTTCTGCCAGTTTTTCCTGAGCTGCCAGGGTTGTAAACATCAGTCACTGTCCCTCCACTTCTCCCAGCTACCCATTCCACCTTCCCGTTTAACACCAGACTTTATTTCCTTGTAAAAAGTAAATATTAACCAAAAGAAATTTGCTTTCTTGAAAATTTCTCGTGCACGAAACACTGTTTTACCCCCTTTCTTACTAGTAACCAGTAGTTCCCAGCAGTTTTAAGGAAGACCGTGAACTTGAGTTACTGCTAAAGTGCTAGTGTCTGATCTGCTTTGATTTTTATTTTGATGTTGCTATTTTCCCGCATGGATTTTATAGACCACAAGTAGCTCTATTTCTTTATAAAGCAAATAGAGTATTAAACAGAGCTGTGGTTATTCTGACTTGGGGGTGTTTTCTCTTTCCCCAATAAATGCCATTTTTTAAATGAGCCATGGTCAAAACCTCATAAAAGATTAACATCACTTCCGAGCTTAACTGGGGCTCTTTTAACGATCACATTATTTTTTTTAAATCTTTTTTTACCAAAATCATGGCTATAAAAATAAAATTTTCTCTATCGAATATGTTCTGTTTTACCTAAAGGATGTTTGCTTTTGTCCTCTGATTCCATCAATTAGTAGGTGGATTAAAAACCGATGCTCAACGCTGGTTATATAGAGATTAAACGTACAGTATCTGCCTCAACAAGCTCACAGTGGTTTCAGGAAGACAGACAAGAAAAAAGACAGAGTTGAAATGCAGGATTATGATGATCTTTAGAGAGCAGGTGTGCACATAAAGGTAACAATGAGGCCTTTGTGAGATGGGGCGAAGGAAGCCTGAGGAAGTTGAAAATGCCTCTGTCATAGGTAGATGGTCACCCACAGCGGGCGGGAAATAGACAGGGCAACACGAGAGAGTGGGACATGACCCAAGTGTGCTGGTAACCCCGGTGAAGTGTCTTCCGAGTTTCAAAAAGCCTCAGACTTAGAATAGGTGACCATGACACTTTCACAAAACGTTACGGCTAACAATACTTGTTTCCTCTAGAGCAGAACATGGAACATTGTTCTATGACCGTGTCAATCTTGGGTGGTGCCATTGAGGCCCTGGCTTATTTTTCTTGGGAGTTCAAGGGAATGCATCAGTCCTCCGTTTCATATGTCCCCTTTATTCAGCCTGAGTGAGCCTCCTCCAAAATTCTATAGACATTATTGGAAAGTCAAGCAGGGGGAAAATCAAAAAGTCATGCAGAATACCCTCCCGTAGTCCTTGGTTTGACAGAATAGCAACCCCTAAATAAATAACGTGCAGAATCTAGACCAGCGATTTTCAACCGGTGTGCCGCAACAAACACACTGGTGTGCCGCAGGAATTTTTAAGACATGCAACACCCGACTATTTAGTCCGGGGCACTGACCTCTTTTCCCTTAGGTTGTCAAATAAAAAAATGGCAACAGCCAACACAACAATAGCCATCAGTGTGAATGAATGAAAATTATACCCGTTTTGGTCAGATCAGCAAAAAATGTAATACATTGCTTGGTGTGCCGCAGAGTTTTAGCAATTAGGTTATGTCTGCCATGACATGGAAAAGGCTGAAAATCACTTTTCAGAATAACCACCGCTCTGTTTATGTGGCCGTGAGATGGGAAGGGGGCTGAACCCTTTCTGACACCGCTTTTGGTCCAGTACTTTTCTCTGGAAAATAGAACGGGCTGGGGTTCTCACTGTACATAGGCAAAGTGGGAGGACAAAGGCCTGCAATATTCACTTCTGTGCTCATAATGGAGGAAAGGAAATAATCTAGAAGCATCTATACCTACTTACTTTCTCTTATTATTTCTGAGAAAACTTCTTCACAACACCGAAGATTTCTAAACCAGGGCATAGTCCTAGTAATTATTTTTCCATCAGAATAACCATGTAGTTTGCATATTCTGCGGTACAGTCCGTTTCAAATATTTAGTCTCATTAAACCCATACACCATCTAAATGACCTGGAAATTCTCATGATACAGCATTTATATTCCATTTCACAGGCTATCCTTCTTACCCAGAAACAACATACAGGAAGTATTTGTCAATTTTGAGTATTAATATTTAATGGGGGAAATATTATCGTATATCAATATTCAATTTATAAATGATTTTTATTTTAATCTTTTTTTGCTAAAGCTAGTACAACTGGTGATGTATTAAAATTGCATAATTTTTGCCCTGACCAGTTTGGCTCAGTGGATAGAGCATCGGCCTGTGGACTCAAGGGTCCCAGGTTCGGTTCCAGTCAACGGCAGGTACCTTGGTTGCGGGCACATCCCCAGTGGGGAGTGTGCAGGAGGCAGCTGATCGATGTTTCTCTCGCATCGATGTTTCTAACTCTCTGTCTCCCTTTCTGTAAAAATTCAGTAAAATTTATTTTTTTTAAAAATTGCATAATTCTTTTCGGCGGGGGGTGGGGGGGGAGTCTTTAAGGCAGTGATGGCGAACTTATGACACACGTGTCAGAGGTGACATGCGAACTCATTTTTTTGGTTGATTTTTCTTTGTTAAATGGCATTTAAATATATAAAATAAATATCAGAAATATACATCTTTGTTTTACCATGGTTGCAAATATCAAAAAATGTCTATATGTGACATGGCACCAGAGTTAAGTTAGGGTTTTTCAAAATGCTGACACGCCGAGCTCGAAAGGTTCGCCATCACTGCTTTAAGGTGAACACTGAAGTATGTAGAAGAAATGGCATAATGTCTGTGAATTGCTTTAAAATACTGTGCAAAGGGGAGAAAAGGAATTAGGGCTGAATGAACCAAGTGTAAGAAAACCTTGCTGCTTGCTGACTCTGTGATGAGTGCAGGGTCTGTCTGTTCCCTCCGCTTCTGAGTGTTTGAAATTTTTCATTAAGCCTGTAGATAACAGAGTTGCCCCAGTGCTCGTGTATAAACTTATTCTCCAGAGTTTTTGAACCTAGAAATCCTAGGCTTTCTCCCCTGGAATTTATGAAATGCTTCGCAAACATGCCTGTGTACTTGGACTTTTTTGCAGAGTGGCCTGACCCCACTCCATCTGGCTGCTCAAGAAGACAGAGTGAATGTGGCCGAAGTCCTCGTCAACCAAGGGGCACACGTGGACGCCCAGACCAAGGTAGACAGAAAGAATGTGCCCACACAATGTGTCTCTTAGTGGCTCCTGTATGGACACAAGTACAGTTCTTTAGGGGGAAAAGCAAATTCCTCCATCGTATCTTTTATACATAATATTTCCCATGTGCATCTGTTCAAGGGACCCTAAAGTCTCTGATTCTGGTACCCAGATGCCTTTATCTTGAATGGCCCAGGTATTTTGTCCTAGCGGCATATCAATACCTTTCTGTGTTAGCGCTATTGGTCCTTGTCACAACAGATCCACCCTCCAAGGGCAAAGTGTGAAAGCTGGTACGTTTCTTAGTTTTTGTAACTGATGTAAAAAAAGCATATTAAAAAATTCAGTAATTTGTGATCTCTAACTTTGTGCAGGCCTAGTCCATGAAAAAGGATAAATTCAATTTTATTCAGCTATTACTACTTGCTAAATTCATTATGATGTGTATGCTTGCTGGTGTATCTCTCTCTCTCTCTCTCTCTCTCTCTCTCTTTCCCAAAATAGCTCTTCTAAGAAATAGATAGATAGATGAATCTCACATAATGCCACAATTTTAAGCTCAGATAAGAAAATGGATGTTTAGTGTCATCATCAAAGATATGACTTCATAGTGACCTCATTTCCCTGAACATTTTCTTTCATGCTTAATTTTGTTACCTCTTCATATCAAACTTGTTTTATCGACTCTAAAATAGAACTCTTCTATGTGTCACATTTTTTGCATAAAAATGAATGCTTATTAAATATTGTTATAAATGCAGAGATTTTGTGTGTAATATAGACAGATGCTGAGGTGTATGGACAGATAGTGAAGATGTTGATAGTAGAGGAGTATCACCAGGAATTAGCCAGGTAAAAAGGTGTGCAGACATCAAATCTAGACTGGATTTATGGGGCTGCACAGATAAAGCCAACTTTAGGCATGGCTCTGGCTCTATGGCGGTGGCTCCTCCACACATACTGTGTCCTATTAAACAGAAGCTGCCCGAGAGAGACATGACCAGGCAAGATCCTTTAAGCTTTCTAAACTGTGTTAAAATAGGAGGGGGGAGGTGGCCCTAGGCAGAGCTGTCCAAGCAGGCCAGCTCCTCCCCTCTTCCCTCTCTGAAACTCCTTGTGCCCTGGAGACTCCTTGACCCCATTTGGTGGCTAAGTTGCCCTGCTCTCCCTTCACTCTTTCCCTCCCAAACTTTTCAAATCTAAACAATCTCATTGTCCTTAACCTTGAATGCCTTCCTAGGTGGCTTGGCATTGTACAGAGAAACCACTGGTAGTGGCTGAATGGTTTCTCCTTACTTTTTTACATTTTGAAAATAAAAGCATTTTTAATTGGATTTAGTGTATATTCATTATTTTGCTTGAATTGCTTTGTTAAAAAGAAATCTCTAGCCCTAGCAGGTTTGGCTCAGTGGATAGAGCATCAGCCTGTGGACTGAAGGTCTTGGGTTCAATTCCTGTCAAGGCCACATGCATGGATTGCGGGGGGCTTGCAGGAGGCAGCCGATCAATGATTCTCTCTCATCATTCATGTCTCTGTCTCTCTTTCCCTCTCCCTTTCTCTCTGAAATCAATAAAAATATATTAAAAAATAAATAAATCTCTAGGAATTTGCAATCTCATGGTAAATGTATTCACCCTGTGTTCATTTACACACATGTGCACACACAGACTTAAACACTTTTTTGGCTACCTCTCTGTTTTTAGATGAAAACTTCTAGAAGGCATGGGTTAAGATTCTCAATATATTTTGCCTCAAAACATCCAGTACTCAGTGAGGGGGCATGGCAGTGATTCTCAAGGGCAGGTTGGAGGAGAGGAAAGGGTGCGTGCACCTTCTGGTCTCCGTTTGCACCCATGACCCCTCAGGTTGAATCTTAGTCTCTACGGGGTTTGCTCCTAACCACCCCCCACCACCACCTCAGGTCACAGTCGGTAATCATTTTTGCACTTATTATAATATTTTTGAAGTACATACCTTTTCTGCCCTTTACAAGTGATGCACTTTGGGAAACATCTCTCTGCCTCTTAGCTGTGTGGTGGTGTCTGTTAAAAAGTGTCCAAAATATCTGGAGTATCCTTATTTTTAAAAAATCATTGTCACCCTGCCTCAGTTGGTTGGGTGTTGTCCAGTGCACCGAAAGTTCGCCAGTTTGATTCGGGGTCAGGACACATGCCCAGATTGCAGGCTCAGTCCCCTGGTAGGGGGCATGCAGGAGGTAGCCGGTCGACGTTTCTCTCTCTCTCTCTCTCTCTCTCTCTCTCTCTCTCTCTCTCTCTCTCATCAATAAAATAAATAACAAGTTAAAAATCATTGTCTAGAATACAGATACACACATTATGTATTTTTAAATTGATAGAATTTATAACCCCTCAGGCATCCATTGATATTCATCTAAGAAACAATCCAGCGCTTTGTCTAAATTGGTGGTCTTCACACTGTACTGTGGTTGGCCAGGCAGGACACTGTAACTGGAGCATGTGTACCTGGACCAGGTTCAGACTTCCCAGACCTGAGCTCATTCACAGCAGCCTCTTCAGCTTTAGTATGGCTCTGCTTCCTTCTGTCTCTGTCATGCATCCTGATAATCACCTACTGACTCGTATTATCATTTAGCCCCTTCGTTTTGTAACCTTGATTTTACACTCTCAGAAATTAGCGTTTTTTATTTATTATACTCTCAATAAATTCTAGTCAAAATCTTTCCATAGAAGTCTTCTGGCCCCTCCCCAAGAAGCCACGGAATCAGCCTATCCAGGCTGTCAGTCACTTCATCTCTCCGTTCAGCCTTGAACGGAGTTGAGAATAGAATTAGCTAATGCAAGAGAGCACGTTGGGAAGTGATATGGGTAACTATTTTCATGTGAGATGCTATTATTGTTTACACCGAAGACTAACTCTGAGAATTATCAAGGGTGTTTTTGGTTTGGTTTTGGTGGTGGTGTTTTTTATAGGGAAAAACTATTTCTGTCAGCTCAAAAAGAAAGGTTAAATAACAATTTTGCTTCTAATTGGGATGACTGCTACTACAAGTGTGCTTATGATGTTTCTTTTTAAAAATATGTAATTACAGATGGGATACACCCCACTCCACGTGGGTTGCCACTATGGAAACAACAAGATTGTTAATTTCCTGCTCCAGCATTCTGCAAAAGTTAATGCCAAAACAAAGGTAAACTCCTTTTATCCTTTGTATCCACCGAAATCATTTATTGTGTCTGAGGAAATGAGTCATTTCTTCCACCTTCCTTCTACAGAATGGGTATACGCCATTGCATCAAGCCGCTCAACAAGGACATACACATATAATCAACGTCTTGCTTCAGAACAATGCCTCCCCCAATGAACTCACTGTGGTAAGAGCCGAGGGCCAGCTAGGGAAAGGCAGATGGGCCCGGGCACTAGCATCTTCTCACCTTTTTCATTGTGCACCACAGTTTGTTTTTTCCTTTCATGCATAGGCATGAGCAAGCGTTCAGCAGAATGAAGGGGAAAGGACAATACTAGTAATTATGTTGTTGTGAGCTATCCAGAGGGAGAGTTGTGATTAGTGTTTCACACTCAAAAACTGTTGATTACCTTGCCCCCTGGTGGGAAGTACATAAGAAGAAGAAATGTGCATTTGTTTCCTTGATTCGTTAGGACATTAAGAACCTCTTGGATTCAGTCGGTAGCAGCTCAGACTCTGCTGTAAGAGTAGGAACAGGTTAGGTGGGTTTCCTGCAAAGTATGTCTGATGAAAGTGTTTTGCACGTGGCAATGGAATGGGCTGTGGAGACACTGGTCTTAGGATTTGTACAGGTGAGACAGGTGCAAACATACAGGCACTGAGACACGTGGAATTCCTGGCTAATTCCTTGTTCCCGTTTCCCTCTTGCCAGAATGGGAACACTGCCCTCGCCATTGCCCGCAGGCTTGGCTACATCTCAGTGGTGGACACGCTGAAGGTCGTGACTGAGGAGACCATCACCACGACGGTGAGTGGTGGACGCCGGGCCTGGCTACCTTAAGACAGTGGATCTTTTAAGACGTTTCTCAGACAGTAGATCTTTCCTGGGCTTTGCAGAGATGAAGCCTCTTTCCTCTGTTCGTAGACCACGAGCCATGTTTCCAGAGGTTGTCACCTCATTGTTGGCACTTTAGCATAGCAAAACTCTCATCTCTGATATTAAGAAAACTTGAAAACACTAAAAATGCCCCTTTAAAAGTTGCACTTGGAGCTATAGAGTTTGTCATTCCATATAAAGCTAAATTTATTTATTTGTTTGTTTGGCTATTTTTTATAAGTTTGAATGAGATGTAGGCAGAAATATTTTAGCATCCTTCTTCGGCAATTTAAGAAAAATGGAGCATTCTGAGTTGGTTCTTTGACATTTTTTAAACTCACAAATGATTAATAGATACATTGTTAGCATTATTATAAAAATGAGATTGTTATAACATGAAACATTAGAGATAGGCTCAAATTGATTTTTACCACCACTTTCACTTGTCTTCCATTCACCTATTGGATTTTCATAGGGAAAACAGTAGCTGCTTTATTAAAATTTTAAGTGCATCTTTACTAGGAGGCCTTAATGCAGCAGATATTTCTTTACAAACTGCAGTAGGATTTGGTAGCTTTGGAATCAAGAGCAGATGTTGCACCGTATCAGAGGCTTATTTGAATAATTCCTGACCACATGACTCAACACAAGGCCTGGCATTGGCTCTGTACGTGGTAAATTTAAGACTCTGGAATACTTGGACTTACTATCTCTGCCTCCTTTTCTCATCTATCACCTTCCATCCTGAAAGAAGGCACAGTTCGCATCTGCAGACAGTTTGTATACACAGGGCTTCATGGAAAACACAGAAGTTATTCTGGCCAGTGTGGCTCTGTTGGTTGGCTGTCATCCTGTGTAACAAAAGCGTTGCCAGTTCAATTCCTGGTCAGGGCACATGTCCAAGTTGCTGGCTTGATCCCCAGTAGGGGGTGTGCAGGAGGCAACCAATAGCTGTTTCTCTCTCACATGGATTTTTCCCGAGGTTTCTTGCTTGCTCTCTCTCTTCCTCTCTCTCTCAAATCAATTTTTAAAAAAACATACACATACATTGGTTGAGGTGCTCTTTAGCAATCAGTAAATTTGGTTATTTGACTATCTACATACTTTAGAAACTAAATAATGAGCCTGCTAATTACAAGAGAGCAGTTTGATAGTGGGTGAAAAAGAATAAGCTTTAATGGAGCAGCATGATGGCTATCAACCAGGGCCCATTTCTTTCTTTTTTTTACTGAATTTATTGGTGTGGCATTGTTGATAAAATTATATAGGTTTCAGGTGTACAATTCTACAATGCATCATCTGTATATTGTATTGTGTATTTACCACCTCAAGTCAGGTCTCCTTCCATATCCATTTATCCCCCCCACCTTTATCTTCTTCCAGATTCCCATATGTTGCTTTCACATACCTCTTGAGTGTTTCGTTATCTTGATTATTATTAAATTCTCAAGAAAAGAATTTAAACAAATAATGTTAATATCCTTAATTTTATAGACATCTCATGTAGCTCTTTCTAGGGTGGGGAACGAGAGGGAGGAGGACTAGGCAGTAAACAATGGCCAGCTGTCACCATGCTAGATGTGAAGTCACTGCAGCAAAATCAGGGTGTCTCAAAAAATGTATAGACGCTGAAACAGCTAATAGCTCAATTTAAAAAATGAAATGTATTTTAATGAACACTGACTTTATACTTATTCAAAGTGTGTGTATACATTTTTCTGGAACACCCTATATATGACTTCTACTTCAATGTTAGAGAATGGAAACTCCTAGAACAGTTCAAAATCCAGTCTAATTTGATTGAATGTAAATGACTTTGTCACCCATTCAGAAAGTTCCACGTGCTTCCTTGATACCAGAAAAGCTATAGGAGAAAATAAAGTTACAGGCAGGGAAAGTCAGGTTACAGCCTCAGGAAATCTTCTGAAAGATGGATATCAAGGCTCAGATTCCTAATGAAGGACACACCGCATTTGGGGCCAAAGCCATTTCACACTCAACCTCATCAGCTTGGATTCTGCCTTAGAGAGAAGACAGGACTCATGCTCACAGGAAAGATTCAGTTGGCCTAATGGGAGAAATGAGGCTTTGACTAAATGGAGTTCTCACACGGATTAGAAAAGACGCCATCCCAGTCCCTAAGACTCAGCCCAGCTCTGGTATGTGAGACTCTATTTCAAGCTGAGGCACCACCCTGTCAGCCTGCTACGGCAGTTACATGTGATCCAGTTTACAGGAGGATTGACGCCATTCAGGGTGGAGTCTGACCTTAAACTCCCTAAACACAGCACTGTCTCCACCAGAGGTAGACCTTTGCACAGCCAGTTACTGGGGCCCCATTGTTCCAGAAGCAGACTTTAGTTTTTAAAAACGCCTTTTTAAAAGAAAGCTGCCTTCCTTAGGAGCACTGTGTAAGATGTGGCAATTCTGAGAAAGGTGCAGCGAGGGAAACTGACTATATGGAAGCTGGTATGCAGAGATATGAATGAAGGTGTTTAAGTTGTGTTGTTGAAAATACTCAATTCCCTGAGTAGTAATGAGCAGAATACATCTATCACTCAGATCTGTTTCCCTTTTTTTAAAAAAAAATTAGCGAATGCTTATGTCCAATCTTTTCTTTTTAAATATATTTTTATTGATTTCCGAGAGGAAGGGAGAGGGAGAGAGAAATGGAAACATCAATGATGAGTGAGAATCATTGATCAGCTGCCTCCTTCACACCCCATAGTGGGGATCAAGCCTGCAACCGGGGCATGTTCCCTGACCGGGAATCAAATTGTGACCTCCTGGTTCATAGGTGGATGTTCAACCACTGAGCCACGCCAACAAGCCAGATCTATGATTCGAATTCCATTCTCTTATAAAGGGAACCAGGGCTCCTCAGAGAAATGGCTGGATCCAGCTAGAACTAGGGTAGGAAATATATAAATGAGCTGGGAACATCTGGTAGTGCCAAAAAATAATAATAATAAGGAAATATCCCCCTCCTCCACCCCAAATAAACAGGTAAATAAGTACACACACAAAAATGATGAGGACATGTCAAAGGGACACAGGAATCAATGGAAAGAGTCCCCAGTGCTGAATGCTGCAACAGTTTGAGCAAAAATGTAAAAAAGCAGTACTGGAGTTTAGTGCAAAGTATCAAATAAATAGCCCTGAGTCCATTCTGGTAAGTAAGTGACTGGATAAGTAGGGAAGAAGAGACACATTTCTCAGGCAAAAGAACTCTAATTTTTGAGCCTACACACGCTGATGGGATAGATACCCTAGTAATTCCCCGCTGCTGAAGCCTGGGTTGAGCATGGTGACTTCCTTCCGAAGAAAACAGCGTGGAAGGGGCAGAGGGAATAGAGTGATTTTGCATGGAGATGCGTCAGCCAGGTGAGGAAGGCTAACGTCAACACCACCAAGTCATGTTGATGGTATGTGATAAAATGGCACTCGACCTCTGTGATCTTCCTCTCCAAACCATATGACCTCAGTCTAATCATGAGGAAAACATGAGACAAATTCCAGTAAAGAGACATTCCACAAACCACCTGATCAGTTGGCCTCAAAACTGTCAAAATCATTAATAACAAGGAAAGTCTGAGAAAGTCACAGCCACGAGGAGAAATGACAACCAAAGATAATGTGGTATCCTGAATGGGATCCTAAAACAGAATCAGGTGGAAATTTTAAAAAATCTGAATATAGACTTTAATTAATAATAGCGTCTTCATATTGGTTCATTAATTGTAATAAATGTACCATTCATTTTAATAATGTAAGATGTTAATAATAGGGGAAACTTGGTGAACTCTCTATACTATCTTTACAATATTTCTGTAAATCTAAAACTGTTCCAAAATAAAAACCTTATTTATAAAAATGTTTAAGTTCAGTGTGACATGCTGGAAGAGATATGAATGAAGGTGTTTCAATTGTGTTGTTGAAAATACTCAGTTCCCTGAGTAGTAATGAGCAGAATACATCGATCACTCAGATCTGTTTCCCTTTTTTTAAATTAGTGAATGCTTATGTTCAATCTTTTCAACACAACACAGATAGTGTTTCTTAATTCGTGAATGCTATGTTCAATCTTTTCAAATACAACACAGATAGTGCTGTATTTCAACATGATAATTGAGGACAGGGTGTGCAGTCACATTTACCAAGAATTGGTAAGAACTACTATAAAAAGCTGGGAATTTTACCCTTTCTGAGTTTTAACGGTGTAGTTTTTATTTCAATTGTCTTATTTAAATGTGTACCTTCCTTTGTTCCATAGTGTTTCATGTGCTTAGAGTTAAAAGAGGACTCTTTGAAACTAAAACATTAAGTCATTGAGATTTTCTAACAAATAATGCTGTCGGTGTTTTTGGATGGATACAGTCTATAGGTCAAAAGTTATCAGAGCAAGTAAGAGATTCAGCAGGGCTTTTGCCTACACTATACCGTTCTCTGATGTTTTTGTAGAGGTTAAAATGATCTTGCAAATGCATTACCTCTAAAATATTTTTTCATATATATATATTTATATATATATAGTCATTAAATTATGTAATTTATGCAATCTTAATATTGATTTATTCTAGAAATTAAGATGACACAGGGAAGACAAAATAAATGGCTGGCTTGATAAGTAGTGAAGACACATATTTCTTGCCATTCATTTGGTTTATCTTCAGCCAAGACATTTAGTAGGATGAGGCAGCAGATTCATCAGACCAGGAAAAAATACAGGCGATCTCTCTCCTCTTCCTTTGAAAAGCCTTACTAGGGATTTCAACCTTTTAAGCTGGTGTGCTTTGTCCCTAAAGTTGTTTCACCTTGTGTTTGTTCTCAGCTGTGTATATGGTCAGGACCTTAGAGTTACTGGAGGACATCGTGATGTCATTTTATACGTGGCGGCTTTAGGATAAGCAACACATAAGCCAATTAATAATAAGCCAACTAATTTAGAAAGAAAGAAAGAGTCTCGTTAAAACATGCACTGTCCTCACTCTGAAGTCACTGCTTTTTTGTTGTTGTTGTTGTTACCAGACTGTCACAGAGAAGCACAAAATGAATGTTCCAGAAACAATGAATGAAGTTCTTGATATGTCTGATGACGAAGGTATGAGAACCTCCTTTGAGTTCATAATAATTAAGTGACTGTGTATTTGTTTCCTGAAGAAAGTTCATTGCAAAAATGTTTTCAGAAACATTAGAATATGTTGTTGTAGCATCAACAGCTTACGTTTTCCACCCACTCACATTGTCCACTTAATCATGCAGTTCGTAAAGCCAACGCCCCTGAAATGCTCAGTGATGGCGAATATATCTCAGATGTTGAAGAAGGTATTTGCAATTTTTTATTGTGATGACACTTAACTACCGTCTCTATCTTCCATTTCTTATCTTTGAAATGTAACACTTCCTTGAGTTACTAACTTTTCATTTTATCTTGAGATTATTAATTTATGTGTCATTTAAACGGCGCATATTTGATGTTACTGATTGTCTTCTTTTAATCTCTCTGAATCAGTTCTTGAACCCGTTTTCCAGCTTAAAAATACAAGTCTCGCTAATTATCTGGATTCGTCTCTTTCTATTTGTTTCTATTAAGCAGGAAGTTGATGGTTTTATTGCTTACATCTGAAAATCTCGAAAGGGAAAACTGATTAAAACTTATAGCTAAAATATTTTTAAATAAGCAAGAGGAAGTCTCTTTATAAGTAAGGAATCGGTTTCCCATTCTAAGATTTTCCTACGCATTTTAGCAAAAGCACCTTTTGATCTTGGACTAATAATGAAAACTCAATCTGAACAAAATTACTTTCAAAATATAAATTTTCAGTATTGATTTCATGAAAGAAATAAAAATATAAATGATTATAGTTATACTTCATCTGCTTAAAAGAAACGATTTGTCTTCTGTCTTATTTAAAAATCAATATTTGACCAGGCCAAAATGTATAGATTATATTACTTACTGACATCTTTAAAAGGCTCTGGGAAACTAGCATTTTTACCATGAATATTATAAAGATGGCAAGTCATGGAGTTTTGCTGTAATAATGAAACATTTACTTATATAATGTATGTTATGTTTAGGTTCCTTTCTTGCACCATTTGACTTTCCAAAACTACATTCCATTTATTGCTCCCTCCATTTGCCATCTTGCATGTAGTATTTTTCTCTTGAATCAGTCTTGGTGTTGCTAGTCTTTCTCTGCCTTTAGGTAACTTCCTCATTGTAATTATTGTTCCTTCTTTGATTTGTACAAATTTAATTGGAAATGTAAATAGTGGAGAAATCTACCTGCTCCAAAGTCACTTTAACTGTTTGGTGTACAATGGCTGCCCAGTGTTAGTCTGCGGTGGGGACCGCACGCCCAGAAGACTAATTCTTGGTGGTCATTAAGGACTTCGGAAGACATGTCTCATTGTTTGTAAATGTTGTTTGGATAAATATTAAAGGGTTGATTCATTTTTCTTTCTTTTCCTCTAAAACATCAGCTATATGTTTATGTCCCCAAATAGGTAATATTTGTATCATCTTTAGTAATATGCTTTCCTGTCATATTATATTTCAATGCCTTCTAATGCCACATTTTCAGAGTAATTTCTGGCAGGCAGGAGAAACAAGAAAAATGATATTCTCATATAGATCTGTACACAGGCAGCCCATGATATCAAAAGTAAGTTTTTCTAATGAAATTATTATGAAATATAATATGACAATCACAGACCTAAAAATTTGCTAGTTTTTAACATACTATCCCAAAATAGCCTCACTGATGAGAAGCCACGTTTGAATGGACTATATAATTTGCCTTATCCATGTAGATAACTAACCAAATAATTTCAAAAAAGGAGAAATTTTGCATCTCTTCATTTGAAGATTCTTGATCTAGCGGTTTAACTAGAAATGACCATCATTGCCTTTAGATGTATCTCAGTTTGGGAATTTGAAATTAATAAGAAAATTTTAATTCTCATTTTGTCCATCTTCCCTTAAACACGTTGGGGTATGTGCGGAGACTGTGGGAGTCAAATGGCTTGTGATTTCATAATGTCGTAGAATTTAATGTCAAAAGGTTTTCCTTAAAAGTCACAATCTGAACAACAACCGTCTAGTGCTGGAATTACCTCCATAGAACCCTCTGCTTAGGAGTTCCTTTTCCTAATGCCCCAAATGGTAGGAATTCCCCAGTTTCCAAACTGCCTGTTCCACTATGAATAGCTCAGACTTTAAAAATTCTTCTTTATTGAGTATTCTGCAGCTTCCACCCATTGATCCAGGCTCTTGATACATCTGGCACTATTTAGAACAAATCTGCCTCTTCTATGTGACAGTCCTTTCAATATTTAAAAACAGTTCTCATATTTCTTCTTGGGTTTTTTTTTTCTCAAGGCATGTTATCACCACTTCCTTCCACTGTCCCTCACTGTCATACTTAATCTTCTGTGCACATTTCAATGTGCCTCAGGGAAATCCATCTCTATTGAGGTGGCCTGAACTAAACACAATATTCTACATGTGGTGTGATCCCAGCAGACTGTAGAAGAGTTATTGCTTTGTCCGTGGATGATATTAAAAATCTATTATTAAAGATTAAGATACGTTTGAGATTGTAATATACATGTGATTTGAGTCATATTAATATTACTGTCAGCTAAAGTCCCAAAATTTTGCTTATATGAGCTCCAGTAAGCCACATTTTCCCTGTCATATAATACATCATTTTTTTTCCCCCCCTGTGGAAATTAGCACTGCTATAATTACTCCAAATCCCAAACAAGTCATTTAGAAATGTTAATTCTGAAAGGTCTCTACAATCTTAATGATAATTTTTACTTCTGACTCATTTGCCTGACAGTTTGGCCAGAACTTCACCACTTTCATTGGATTAGGCGCAGGGGTGGGCAAACTTTTTGACTTGAGGGCCACAATGGGTTCTTAAACTGGACAGAGGGCCGGAACAAAAGCATGGATGGAGTGTTTGTGTGAACTAATATAAATTCAAAGTAAATATCATTACATAAAAGGGTACGGGTTGTTTTTTTTTTTTTTTTTTTTAGTTTTAGTCATTTCAAACGGGCCAGATCCGGCGCGCGGGCCGTACTTTGCCCACAGCTGGATTAGGGGCTGCCTGCCCAGTAAGCCCGAGGAACTGTGGCAAATGTTTATTTCCTCGAAACCACATGTTATGAAAATGTCTCTCTACAAGCTGTAGTAAGAGATCATTACGCTGGTAACCCAGTGTGCCAACGATATCAGCAGCTTTTTAAAGCCAATAAAAATGATAGAAATATATGCTGTCAGTTTTTCTCAAGAAAGAAAAGATGAATGGATGTGTAAGATGGGAAAATATAATTGTCATTTTAAATCATAAAAACTGAGTAAAATCTTAACAGAACAGTGGTCTCTCTTCTTTCTTCTTTGATTTCTCCTCTTTCTTAGGTCCACTTTGAGAAATTAGTATAGGGGAAAGAATGTTGGGGTAGCTTTCTCAAAAAAAGGAAAACAAGTCTAGACAATGTTATCAGTCACTGACTCCGGGAACAATGGAGTCAAGTCACAGAGTAGAACAAAGGATGAAGCAGAGCCCGGAGGAAAAGGCTATAAAGAACCTTATCTAAGGCCGGTGGTTAAGCCCAGTCATTACACAGGTAGGGGGAACAGAGCTCCTCTGTTTACAAGGGCTAGACAAGGTCACAAGTATCTTAATGCCCTCCTGTCTTCTTTCCCAGAAAATATGTTACATACATGAAAATGAATATACATACAGCATTAATATCTTGATTCTAGTGCCAGTTAGATTCTTATGTTTTACAATTCAGCTTGTAATTCAAAAAAAAGAAGAGAGAGAGTGAGAGAGAGAAGGAAGAGGGTGGGAGGAAGGAAGGGGGAAAATAGAAAAATAAAGAAAGAGAAAGGGAAGAGAGGGAGAAAGAAAATTGAAATTAAGGTTTAAATTGCCTTCGTTGAACACTGCTTTTTTTTTTTTAACTATCAGCGGAACATTGCACATGGCAGGCTGGCTCTCGAGCAGCCATGCCGCAGCTTCCTCCGGGTTTGCTTTTTCTGCAGGTCTGGTGTGCCCTCGGGTACCACCAACCCAGCGCGGCTCCAAGGCTGCAGGTTGAACACTGCTTTTAAATGACAGATTCCTACAAAATGAATTTTTGTAAAACTTTTTAAAATCTATAAAATGTTATTTCACTTTTCATAATTCTACTGGGTTGAGTAGCAGGTATAAAGAACTATAGATGGGACATAAGAGAAATGGAATTAAGCCCTGAAAAGTAAAACCCGAAGGGGCGGCTCTGTGAAATGTGACTCTCCTGAACAGATGTATGAGACAACTGGGTGAGCAAACTTGCTGGGAGGAATTACTTAATTCTCAGGTACTTACCAATTGGATAGAGCTGCAAAATCTCTTCAGGACCAAGTATAGATACTAAATATTAAAATTAAAAGACTCTAAATACACATGTGGTAGAAGTTTTTATCAAGTAGGTATGGGTTTGAGATACGATAAATAAAATTCCATCCTATATTAGAGTGGCATGAGGGATGAGGAGAGTCATGCTCAGCTCACCTTGGTGCCAAGTTCAGTGCCCAGTAGAAGCCACAGCAAATCAAAATCCACAGATTTCAAAGACCTGAAAGGGCTGGGTCAGTTTCATGTAGCCCATGCTCTCCATTATGTGGATGAAGGAGCAACGCCCAAATACATGTTGAGTGGCCTGTCCAACCAGGTGATACCCTGGTCTGGCAGAGCTAGACAAGGAGACAGATCTGACTGTCAGTGGTTTTAGATGATCTCTTTCCCTGATACTCTAACACAGGGGTCCTCAAACTTTTTAAACAGGGGGCCAGTTCACTGTCCCTCAGACCGTTGGAGGGCCGGACTATAGTTTTAAAAAAAACTATGAACAAATTCCTATGCACACTGCACATATCTTATTTTGAAGTAAAAAAACAAAACGGGAACAAATACAATATTTGTATTTGCATGTGGCCCGTGGGCCGTAGTTTGAGGACCCCTGCTCTAACATGACCTGTTTTCTTGTCTATAGGACCCAAGAATGACTTTTTAAACTTCTTTTTGTTTAATTTTTATTTATTGACTTGAGAGAGAAATATGAAGGGAGAGAGAGAGAAAAAAACAATGATTTGGTGTCCCACTTATTTTCTTGTATGTGCCCTGACCGGGGATTAAAGCCACAACCGTGGCATATTGGGACAATGTTTTAGCTGACTGACCTACCAGGCCAGTGCTATTTTTAAACTCCTTTTTAAAAAAAAGTGTATAGGAAAGGGAATAAATAATGCTCTTCAAAATTATCACAAGGTAATAAGAATTATTTTTTCAAGGCCTTAATGAGACTATAATAGAAATATTATCCCTTCGTCTGGCCTTCTTGGCCAAAGAAACATGCCGACCAAGGTGCAAAGTCAAGCAAAAGAAATATAAACATGATTTAGAATACACTTTAAGAACCAAAAGCAAGTCATTTTAGTAAATATATATCCAAGTATTCTCAGTTAGGGGAGAACAGCTAGAATTTTACTTGGCACAATCTGAAACTCAAAAAAGTAGGAGAAATTACTTTGGGGAATATTGAAGCTGGATTTCAAGAAAGGCACCAGGAAAGTACCCTTCAGGACCCCTCCTGCCTGGGACTGACCTGCTATCCTAATCTTGACATCCCAATAGTTACATCAGACTCTGACGGTTTCAGTTTTCTAGGTCTGAAAAGAAGCCTTGGCGACTAGCTTGCCCCAGGTGGTAATGGGAGTGGTGGTTGTTATGCAGAAATTGTTCTTCACCTGAAATGTTATCGTTGTACAAATACCTCTTAAATTATCTAGCCCTTTGCTTGATATTTCTCTGCTCATGACTGACCTTTCAAATAGACATTACATAATTGCATGCCACTCTTAGTGATAAAGTCAGAATGACTTTATTCTCTGTGGTAGCCCCAGAACCTAGTACAGTGTCTGGCACACAGCAGATCTTCAGTACATGTTTGATGAGGTGCATCAAAGTAGAAGGGGACTCAAGGGAAGGCTAGGGCTACAGATTTCTGGAAACAGGCAGAACGGAGAAAATTTGCCTGCCATGTTCTTTTTTCCTTCCACTAAACGCCTTCCCATTGAGACAGGCCTAGGCTATGTATTGAGTTGATAGACAGCTTTGTAATGACTTCCCCCAAGGTATACTTGCATCTCAAAAAATAATGAATTAAAGGAATTTCCCGATGGAGAAAAGGATCTGTGGTGTGGGACCAAGGCCTTTGTTTTCAACTAGAATTCATCCCATCTTTGGAATTGGAATTGTTTCCTGACTTTCACTCTCACTATCCACTTTCCCAGCTGTGTACTTGACATTTCCGTTGGATTCTCACAGATGCCTTACCCCAGCATGCCCTAAACATACCCCTCCAAGTCAGTGTGTCTTCCTACCCTTCTCCGTCTCAGTAAATAGGTCTATTACCCAAGTCAAAACCTGTGGTTAGGTGTCATTTCTCTGTTTTTACCACTCATACCCAGTCCATCAGCAAGTCCTATCAGTTCTACTTCCAGAATACATATGAGTTCTCTCTCCTCTGCACTTCCATGGTCACCCCCCCCCCCCCCCCCCCCCCGCGTCATGTCTCCCATAGAATCCTGACTGCAGGAGCCTCTTCCCAGGGCTCCACTTCCACTCTCACCCACAGACCAAGCTGTCTGTACAGCGCCCTCGGCAATCTTTCATAAGTATATGTTGTACCATGCTATTCCATTCCCCAGCTTAAAACCCTCCAGAGCATAGAGTTATAGTTATGTTTTTGAGATTCATCCCATGCTGTTGCATATAGCTATATTTTATTTTCATTTCTATGTAATGTTGCATTGTCTGCCTATGCCATAATTAAAGGATCCATTCTACTATTAATGGAAATGTTTCCAGTTTGCAAACAAAGCTGCTACGAATCTTCTTATATATGTTTCCTGGTACACATACGTGTGCCTTTCTGTAGGGTAGGAACCTAGGATTGTAGTTGCTGGGTTGTGGAGAATGCAAAGACAAAATTCATCCAAGTCCGCTAAGAGTGTAAAAGTATATTGTGAGGTTTTGTGTTTTTGTTTTTTAAAAACAAGGAGAGGAATATCGTAAAGAAAGTGATTAATGATGGGAGGAGGCTGTGACTGGGATGAGGATGCGGGAGGCTTCTGACGTGCTGATGTTCTATTTCTTAACCTGGATTAACAGCTTGTTAAAATATACATTTACATGTTACATAGTTATCTGTGTAGTTGTTGTATTTCATGAAAAAAGTAGGCACCCCCCACAAATAATACAGATAAACCCCAAAATAGCACAAATACACAACTGAAATAAACATCTCTCGAGGCTTTACATTGCACTTAGGAAAAAACTCAGTCCCTTTCTGAGATAGGTAAGTCCTATGTGGCCCCTGGCTCCCTCTTTTCCACTCTCCTCTCAGTCACACTTTTTTTTTTTATTTCTTTCTAATGCTCATCTCAGTGTCTTAGTCATAAATTTCAGGGGCAGCAATATTTTCCTGTGAAGGGCCAAAGGTAAATATTTTAGCATTTTCAGGCCACGTGGTTTCTGTCCCAGTGACTCACCTCTGCCTTTGTTGCACAAAAGCTGAGAAGACAAAACCTCTGCACATGGGCGTGGCTCTGTGGCAGAACCTGATTTACAGAAATAGGAGGCAGGCTGGATTTGGCCCAAGACTGTAGTTTTACAATTTGTGAGTAATTTTGTTTCTTTTCTTCCAAACTAGACTGTTAGCCCCAGGGGGGCAGAGCTGTCTTTGTCACTGTCCTAGAGGCCCTCATTCCTGGATGAGTGTGTTACTGGTCAGCCTCCACACATTTCCTGTCTCTGTCCCTCCTCAGGATTCCAAATCAGTGAACACTCTCAACATCAAAAACAAGCTACTTACCTGTCTATGGAGCCCTTTCTATGGGCGAGGCCTTAAGCTACATACATTTCATGTGTGATGTCTCTTAACACTCACAGTGATTCCCCTAAGGTAGAGCCATTGGTTTTTCCCACTTTCTAGAGGTGGAAAGTTAGTTCCATCAAGGAAGACACTTGATTAAGATCATAGTCAGTGCAGGGCTTATACTCAAATCCCTGTCCTGAACCTCTGCTCTCACCTCAGGGGTGCCTGCTAGTTTAGGGAACAGTCCCACAACTGTTGGGTTACTATACGTTTTAAATGAGAGAATGTATAAAGGGGTTAGCCCAGAGACCTCAGAAACATTAATTACCAGGTACCTTATCTTGCTTAATTTTGTCGAAGTGGTTGTGGGCATTGCCTGTACCATTATTACTCCTGATTTTCACTCAGTCCTAATTTAAAGTGTTGTTAGTCCTAATTTCATCAAGGAATCTGAGGCTCAAAGAGTTTAAGATATTTGTTCAGGACCACATAGTAAGGAATTTGGAATTGGATTTTTGTTTTTCTGCTTTGACTTTCTACTCAATGAGATGCTGTAAGGGAAGAGTAGATAAAGTGACGAGGAATTTTGAAAGAAGGGGAGATCACTGAAGGCCTCAAGAAGGAACCATTTTAAGGCATAGATAGAATCTGGACAAACAGAACTTTTGGGGGATAGAGGGTGGAGATTGGAAAGACGTGTTCCAGATTCAGAAAACTTTTTTTGGTTGAAGTGTCAGAGACAGAGAAGCGGAGGCCTCCACGGCAGAGCCCAGCACGCACTGGCCTGGATGCGGACCCCAGGGCAGGGCACGGGGAGGAAGAGAAATGTTCTAGAAAACCCTGGGCGCATTGACATTTAAGAGAGGGAGGAAGAGGAATGCTAAAAGATATGGGAGAGGGAGTGGGTGAACAGAGGAGGGGGAAACCAGAGAGTGAGTTCTTGTGGAAGCCCTGAGAGGACCTCCCCTGGGAAGGTCTAGTCAGATGAGCACAGGCAATAAGCGGCTCCCTGGTGACCTCAGCATCTGACACGCCCATGACATTGTGAATGTAGACTCAGAAGTAGTTCTAATGCAGGGGAGAAAGCTCAGACAGTGAGTGTATTTTTTCCCCCCAAGAAGCTTGTGGAATGGGTGGCAGAGGGATTGTCTTAAGAGATGGCACAGAATTAAGCATGCTTATTGGCTAAGGACAATGGGCTGTTTTTTCATTTGCCCAAAACACATTGTAATTTTGAGCATGCTTCTCCCCCTCACCCCTGCCAAATTATCTTAATCTCTGCCCATCTATGTGGAAAGCCTGACCTGCTTCGTATGGAAGTGGGTCTAATCTGACCACCTTAGTTCCCTCCCCTCCCCCTGGCTTCCTTACTACAGAGAAGAAAGGGAAGCATCCGCACTGAGGATGAAGGGCAGAGAGCTGGGAATAGGAGCGGGCAGAGAACCTGGGGACGACAAATGGGAAGGGTGGTCTGACCATCTGGGCCAGAACCACAGTGAGAATGAGAACTGACAACAGGCTTGGTATCTTTACCTTGTATATACACATCTTTTAGGTCAGAAATATAAAAAAACAAAACAAAAAGCAGGTGTGTATTGCCCTGCAGAGTGGAAGGCACTTTGGATACAAGAGCAGGAAGAGGCCAAAACCTTGCCCACAAAGTATACAGGGTACCTGGGGACAGCGCTCATGGTTCTGTTTTTCACATACGGTCCGGTCCTCAGGCACCTAAGTAATGAGCTGAGACTAAGGAGGTCCGGCTTTGGAGTCAGGGATGGATAAATCACTAAGACAGAATGACTAGAAGAAAGAACCAATTGGCAGGACACTGCCACCTTGAATTTAGCTACCTCATTTCTCTGCAAGTAAGAACCAACATTTCAGTGCCTGAAATGGGCTAGTTTGTGGCTAGTAGTTTATTCATCATCTAGTCATCTTACAAGTGGCATAGGTTTTAGACCATGCGGAGGGTGTAAGTAACCTTGCAGCCCTTCCTAGCTGCATTCCGGTGCCCGTCTTAGGAGTTCATTTGACCAAGTCGGTGAGTGTACTGTCCACTCTTATTTAGATGGCTGAGGAGAAGTTCTGGATTAGGATTAAGGAATATTGAAAAGAAAATGAAAAATGATAGCTTCTATCACAACATTGTCTCTTTCTACCTCTTCACAGGAAAGACACTAGATTCTTTTGCTTTTCTGGGATGAGTTTGTTTATTAACCCAGCCGAGATCACAGGGGACATTTTTCATTGCCACGTCTGGAAAAGTTCCAACACTGAGTCATGCTTGCGTGCTTTAGCAACTCTATCTAGCCTGAATGAAGGAGCAGTACACTGCTATGCAGCTTTTTTAAAGAAGCACATCTAGCCACAAAGAACAGCACCATGTTCAAGAGTAAAGAAGCGAGTTGACTTTTATTCTCTTTTAAAAAAGACAACTCGGCCTGAGCAACAAGAGTCGTTTGTTCTGTGGGACAACAGCAACTTGTTATTGTCTAAGAGATGTGCCAATTTTGCCATCCGAGCCTGCTTCCTGGTTGGCCACCTATGAAGCCAGGATCTTCTGAGCATATAATGCCAGAGAAGGGAATGAAAGACCGCGGAGGCTGGCCCTCCCACAGCGGCACAGGAATCCCCTAAAATGACACACACTTCTTCAGCCTTCTTAAGACCACCTGTTCCACTCATGGCTCATCTCAACATTTTCTCAACTTACCCCATTGTTCTCATATGAAAAAAAGGTTATATTCCAGCATTTAGTTTATGTGTTGAAAGAACCCCCTCCTACTGCCAGAAGGTGCTGGAAAACAAATGGTTAAAGCGAGACCCCAGTATCTGCTCATTCCTGACTGGGAGGGCAAGTGGAGGGTGCAGGGGGCAGGACAGAACGCTCACTCCATGCTTGACCTTGGGCTTGGGCCATCAGCCTCTCTCTGAGTCTCCAACCATCTCAAGAAGGTACTGGAGTCATGAGCACCTTCTGGGCCTCCAGCCAAACACAAGTGCCTGTGCTACACACAGGAACGCCTGAAGCAAAGGGCACCATTCCGTCACCTGCACATCCCCAGCTTCCTGGTACCCATCTCTCAGAACATTCAGAGGAGGCCTTGCTTAATACAAGCTCTTGATCTCGAGTGCAAATTGCAAAGTGAAATATGTGCAATCCGGAATCTAAGTAACTTTCCCATTAACTATTGTGTGACTCCAAGAAAGAATTAGACTTCTAGACCTAAAGTTTGAGTGGATCCGGGTCCTAAACTTATTGTATTCCTCTTCCTTTCTGCTCACATTTCCTTGCTTTTCTGAGAATGTCAATATCAGGGGGTTGAGAGAAAAAGACATGGGAGCAAATATAGTCATTTGGATTCTCCATGGTGAAAATCTATTGTCTAAATATCAGTGGAGAAAAACATCTTTTCAGTAAGGCTTTGAATTGATGGAAAATAATTTTTCTTCAAAGCTTTTTTGCATTTTTATGTTTCTTATTTGAACCTTCAAAAAATAAAATGTGCTGGCTCTTATTTGGTTTATCTCTAACGAGGTTAGTAATACCACACGGAGCTGCTGTGAAGATGAAAATAAATAAAATATATGAAAGATTTATAACAGTGACTGGCAGATAGTAGGTGCTCATTAAATGGCAGTTCCTCTTTTTTGTTGTTAAATGCATACAACTACTTATCCTGCTTCATACTGCAGAATGAGAATTAGGGAATAAAGCAGGAGAGGAAAAGGGAGAACTTTGAGATTTTGGGTCTTCGGGTAGAAAAATATATATAGGTGAACAAATAATTGAATTTTAACAACTAATGAATATATATGGTATGTTGCTTGTCACTTGGATAATATGGGTTCTAACCTAGACTCTACCACCAACTAGACATGTGAGTTTTGAAAAATAACCAAACCTCTTATGAAAAAACCACTATTGGTTTTTTCACCAGTAGAAGGAAAACAATAGTACCTGCTTCACAGGGTTGAGGGTTATATGAGACATGCATATAAAATGCTCAGTTAGCACAATGTCTAGCATATACAAAGCACTAAAATCGTAGCCAGCAGGAGTCGTAGTACAGTTTTGTATTATGATTTGTGCCCTGATCTTAACATTTTTACTAGAAACTAAATGCTTCAAAGGCAATAGTTGGCTTTACTCATAACATAAGTACCAGTCCAGTGCTCTACTGTCCTACTACTGAAAGTGTGGTTGCGGTCACCCAAGAGTTTGTTATAAATGCAGGATCTCAGGGTCTCCCTTGACCTGTGGAATCAGTATCCGCATTTTAACAAGGTCTCCAGGTGATACAAATATATGCACTGAAATTTGGAGACACTCCACTCGATTCATTGAATTCAGTTGCTAAAGCTGATGTTTTACTTATTCTATTAATTCCCACCAGGAAAATAGATTTAATTCTGTAGAAGCAATACCACCATTAGAGACTTGCCATTCGTTTGTAAGGATCCTTTAGACAGTGTTTATCAAAGTGTGGTCCCTGGACCAGGAGCATCAGATTCACTTGGGGTCGTGTGATGCTAACACATCCTACAGGTTGAGAACCACTGCTTTAGAACACTGGGAAACTGCCAGAAGTACACGAGTATTGTGTATCTCCTTTCTACTTTAGTTCATTTCTTCTCTTCCATCTCTTAAAGATGTAAATAAGGTCAGATATCTAAAATACTGAGTTTCCTATCCATGTTTGCCAGATATTTGCCAGTGCACATACACATCTTAGTATCTACCTGGCAGATCTTTATATGTCAAAATACCTTTTCAGGTGAACGAAACACACAGCCTAATTACTTGCCTGCAGTCCCTGTTTTGTTTTGTTTTGTTTTAATTTTATTCGTTTTTTGAATAGGTGGTAGATGCACATGGTATAAAATTCCCAAGGTACAAGAGTTGTCGGTGAAAAGTAAGTCTCCCGTCTTCTTGTTGCTTTGGTAATATAGTTGCCATCTCCAGATGCAATCACTGAACTTTCATTGCACACATTTACTGAGCATGTACTATGTGCCAGGCACTCTTCTGGGCTTTGGATACAGAAATATATAGAAAAAAAACCCCTGTCCTCACGGAGCTTACATTTGGTTACCAATCTCTTACAGTATTTATTCAATAGCATAGCATATTGCAGTAGTTAAAAGTAGAGCTGTGTATCAAACCAACTGATTTTGAATTTGATTTTCCCCACATTCTCAGTAATCTTACTCTTAGTGTGAACTGGGTTATATCTTGAAATAGAGATAATCATTCTATTTTATAATATCATTGTGAGAATTATATGAAATAATACTTATAATGCACCAAATAGTGCCTAGAACATAGTAAATGCTCAATAAATAGCAGTGTTGATTTTAATGATGTGATCTCATTCTACTTTTCTATTATGTACTCAAGAAATGGCTAAAGGATCTCTTTTCCCAACAGTTTTCATTTCCTCTCTCTGCTGTGTGGTGATTTAAAAAAAATTATCACTTTTCTTACAACAAGTAAATTTAAATCTCCTAAATTCTGATCATTAACTCCTTATCTGTAAGACTCTGCTGATTTCTAGTAAGAAACCAACTCATAATAAATCACTAGAGTATAAAGGTTGAGTTCCTCTTTATTTTTTCTAATCTAGCTTTTAAAAGATCTTATGTAATTTGGACGTCTTGTATTAATCATTTAAGGTTTTTATACTTTTTTTAAAAAATATATTTTATTAATTTTTTACAGAGAAGAAGGGAGAGGGATAGAGAGTTAGAAACATCGATGAGAGAGAAACATCGATCAGCTGCCTCCTGCACGCCCCCCAGTGGGGATGTGCCCGCAACCAAGGTACATGCCCCTGACCGGAATCGAACCTGGGAACCTTGAGTCCGCAGGCCGATGCTCTATCCACTGAGCCAAACCGGTTCGGCTATACTCTTAATTTCAACTTTATAATATTACAAAATTTATACCTCGGGGAGATTTCTGCATTTCACAGCAGAGGAACTAAGCAAAGTTTCTGACAATATAATTTGGTTTAGTTACCTTAAGGAACTTTCTTTATGATTCTAGTCCTATCTAGATGGGAAAGCAATTTTCAACTCCTGGAAAAGTAACAAAAGTATTTCTTGGTTATGGGCTTAAGGGGGAAAAGAGTAGAAGAAAATCACATGCAAAAATAAATAAATAGATAGATAGATAGATAGATAGATAGATAGATAAATAAATAAGAGAAAAAAGAACTCCTGGGACATGAAAACACTTCTAAATATTGGGCCAAGAACTGTTTCCTCTGTTCAGCCTAAAAAGGAATGTTAGTGGGCATAATGTAAGAATGCAAGGAACTTGGCTTAGGTATATGTATTCCACCTTGTACTGACACTGGACCGTTGACATGAAATCTAAAAAGGAATGAGGGCACACCAATCGACCGGCCAGTTCTGATAATCCTTTCATGTATGTATTATCTTTCTTTCTCTCCTCTGTCCTTTATTTTATTTTGTATTCTTTCCTGGTAGACAAAGTGTATGAAGCTTTGAAAGTTTGATTGTGGTACAGGAACCTCTTCTCTTAGCCTGGTCATGATAGAGGAGGAAGAGGAAGAGGAGATAGCCGGGGCATTGAAGTGCCTCTGAACAGCTTTCGTTATTTGGTTAATGGTGAGATCAAAGTCGACTTGAGGTGTTTTGTGTTCTTTTAACATTTTCCAGCCTCTGGTGTTATATTGTCAGAAATGGATTAACAAAAAGAACATCAGTGCTTCTAATTTTGAAAGGCGTAAAATCAATACTAAAAAAAAATGAGGCCTCTAGTGGCATTTACCAGTGTACTTCCCCTGGACTTGTCAACCCTAATCATATAATGCACTCCGGAGCTAACTCTAACCCACTAGGGATGCATTAGGCAACCAGTGTGCGACCTCTTTGGCTTACCTTTGGACCTTCTCATTTCTCATTGTGCTCTGTTTCCACTAATTATTACAATGTAACGACCCATCTCTAAACTCAGCTGCATAATTTATTATTATTATCTCCCGCGGTTGTGTGAGTTGACTGGGCTCAGCTGGGTTCTGGAGATCTTTCATGACATTACAGTCAGATAGCAGCCGAGGCAGGAATAACATGGCAGGGTGTTCAATAGGGTGTCTTTATTCAAAGGTCTGTTACCTCAGAAGGCTGGAATGGCTGGGGATTGCCTGGGCATCTCTGTCTTTCTGAGCCACCTCTTTACAGCTACTTTGAGCTTCTTCACAAGCATGATGGTCTCAAGGCAGTCAAATGCCTTACAATTAGATTGGCTTTCCCCAAATAAGTGTGTAGACTGAGGCAGAAACTATAAGGTTTCTTTTAACTCATACTCAGAAGTGATGCATAATCATTTCCCCTGCATTCTATTGTTCAAAAGTCAAGCCAGTGTACCAAACACTTCTAGGAAACATAAACCCACTCAGGTACTTCTTAGTAAGTGAAAACTTGTGTTTCTTGGTAATATACAGCAGTGGGCAAAAGTAGGTTTGCAGTTGTGAATATACAAAACAGTTTATTCTTGTGTTATGAATTATTGTATTATAACTATAAACTACTTTTGGCCACCCCTGTATATATTTTAACTAAATATATCTGATGTTGTGTGAGTGATGTCCATTAATAGAATTACCTTTGTATAAGAAGTATTGTTAGAACAGTGATGGCGAACCTTTTGAGCTCGGCATGTCAGCATTTCGAAAAACCCTAACCTAACTCTGGTGCCATGTCACATATAGAAATTTTTTGATATTTGCAACCATAGTAAAACAAAGATTTATATTTGATATTTATTTTATATATTTAAATGCCATTTAACAAAGAAAAATCAACCAAAAAAAAATGAGTTCGCGTGTCACCTCTGACACGCATGTCATAGGTTCGCCATCGCTGGGTTAGAAACTGCCACTAATAAAACATTTTTTGGATTATAGAATGGATTAGAGGCAGTTTATAAATCACTTAACACAACTTATCTCATTATTTTCTAAACTTGGTACAGTAGTGTGTTGTACCAAGTAGTGTGTCATAATTATAGACTATTGTGTTTATTGAAAGGAAAATAAGTTAGTTTTATTATTGTTGTTCATTCTTTCATTCAATCAAGAAATATTTGTTGACTGTCTATAATGAGCCAGGCCCTGTGTTAGCCAGTAGAGAGTAGGGACAAATTCCTGCTATGGTTGGATTTTTGCCCTTACCAGTATATATAGTAGCAATTTAAATGCTAACTATGTGAGTTCATACATTCAGATGCTTGGGCACTAGAGAAAACTGAGTCACAGAATATTAGTAACAATTAGTGCTCATTAAACCCTTACTTTGCGCATTATTCCATTTAATCCTCCCAAAAGGTTATTGGGATAGAGGCAGAGTTACTATCCCAGTTTTGTAGAGGTTGAAACTGACTCAGAGTAGAGTGTTTCAAAGGTCACCTAATCAGTAGCGGTGGAACTTGGATTTTAATCCAGAGCACCTACCATGCCCAACTGCATCAACATAATACCAATGCCTTTATTTCTGAATTCCCTAACTTGGAAAAATGTTTTCACTATATATATATATACCATATGTATATATTTATTGATTTTAGAGAGGAACGGAGAGGGAGAGATAGAAACATCAATGATGAGAGAGAGTGTCATTGATTGGCTGCCTCCTGCATGTCCCCTACTGGGGATCGAGCCCACAACCTTGCGTCCTTGACCGGTATGGAACCCGGGACCCCTCGGTCCGCAGGCTGATGCTCTATCCACTGAGCCAAACCAGCTAGGGCTTCACTTTTCTAAAGTGGTAGGTGCATAATTTTTAATGTCATAATGCTATTTTAATTCATCTTTGACCAAATGTATTGGCAGCTCCCACGGCTACTCCAACCCCAGGCTTCTTTTTGGTTTTACAGTGACCATTTCTGAAGTCTAAGAAGGATGGGTAAAGAGGAATGAAAACTTAATTTTATTGACATTTTACTGTATACCAACCAGTTATCAAGCTTGACATGCAAAAAAAAAAAGTGCTAAGTGACTGTAGCATGTAGATGGGAAAGAAAACACAACCACCAACCTCATTAATAAAAGTAATCATGAATTCAAATATTTATGGGGCATTTACAATATGCCAGGCCCAGGAAAAATTTGGTTCCTAATCTGGGGGATCTCACCATCCAGTGGGAGACACAAAGCAGATGTTTCTCCTGGCAACACACTCTGATAAGGGAAGCCCACCGGAGAGCCATCTCACTTAAGATGATGAGTGAGGGTGGGAGGAGTTCTAGAAAGAGTCAAACATTGGAGAAATTACTCAGATGCAGAAGAGGGTCAAGGTTCCATCAGGAGAATGCACCCTGTGCAGTGGTTCAAAGTCTAAAAGACTTTCAGGAATTCCCTGGGCTGCAATCGTTCTGCATAACAGAGGGCAGGCTGGGTGTGTGTGGTGGAGCGGCCAGAGAGGCTGGCCAACAAGTCCGCAGGAAGGACCTTTTTTTCATTGCAGTCCGTTTTGGACATTTTCTCCATTTTAACCATGACTTTCCCCAGGATTGCGCTTGGGAATATGTTTCCATATGCGCCAGGCATTATAAAGGGCTTCCCTTGCGTTTCTGCGTATTTACAATGTTGGTTACAGCCGGGCTGGCCCAATGGAAACACCGGGTGTCGGAGTCCCATCATCTTCATATTCCATGAGTCATTTATTGATGCAGTTACTTATGCGTTTACCCAGGAAAACCAAATCCGTTTCCCACTTCGTCGGTTCTACAGCTTCAAATGTCAGTATGTTTAGGTAACAATCCAAGAGGTAGAGGCACTGTCGTGAGACAGGGCTGCAGACCACTTACTTCAGCGAGACCGTTTCAAACCCTCTACTTCCTTTCTAGCCCGTCTCCAGTTGTGCTGAAAAAGAGGAAAGAAGTCGCCTCTGCGTGTGCCCAGGTGGAGGGTGCAGAGTGCCGCTTGGTGCCAGCACTAACAGGGTCGGGCAGCTGGGAAGGGGCGGGAGTCCCCGAGAAGGGAACACCTCCCCGCCGCCCCACTGGCCTCTCCAGCCCACTGCGCCCCCTGCCCCTCTCTCTCTCCAGGGACCTCCCAAGAGGGAGAGCCAGTGAGTCCCTTTGAGTGTGTTGAAGAGTTGAAAGAACCTGTGCCCCCACATAAAGCAGAACATCCACTCGCTTAGCTGGTCTCACTCCTCCTCTTCCTCCAACTCCTGCTGAAAAGCAGCGGTGATGGGTGAGAAGTGCGTTCTCAAGAGCTTCTTGGAGAGCTCTGGGAATCACTGCTGCTTCCCTCGGCCCCACAGTTTCACAACCTCTTCTCAAGGGCAGGCCCTCCCTCTCGCTCTCTTTTTTCCCCCTCCTTCCACCTGACAGGGACCATAAATAACCGAGGCTCCCGGTGTCCCGGCTGAGAACAAAGTTGAAAGTTTGCCGGGAGCTCCCCGCCACTCCCCGCTGGGCCGCTGCTTTGTTTTCTTCTGTTTTTCCTCTACCTGGGTTGGCCGGCTCCTCATCCACGTGGGAGAAGAGTCACCTCCTAATTAAATGCAGCACCTCGCTCCTGGCTCTCCTCGGTTTAAGGCTGTCTCGGTTACCCGGTTAGGCACGGAGCACTGGTATCAAATTACCGAAAGTCTACACTGGAGCTGCCCTCATATTTACATACAAATAACTCAGGGCTTGCATTTATGTCACCATTCGGTCCTGCTAGAGGCTTGCCAGAGGAGTTTTTAATCCAATCAGGAGGCGCTTTAAAAGGATGTCTGCGGAGTAATCAAAAGGATCTTAATCTCAATTAAGAGTAGCCAGGTTTTGTTCTTTTTTTTGGTCTGAAATATTGAAAATCTTTGAGCTCTGATGAGTAGGAGAAGATGTGTAATTCCTCCATTGCCTACGAGGAGACGGAGATGCTGAGAGGAACTCGGCGGCGGTGGTGAAGACGGTGGCTACACCCCAGGGACTGGTTTGTTTGGGCTGATTTGGAGGTAGATTCTAAATCACTGGTTAAGGAATTCCTGGAAACCTCAGGAAACATCTGATCCGCCCCATCCTGGTGAACATGGCTTGGCGACAGAGTAAGATCTTTAAGTTGTACTTGGTGTGCACTGTTTTTTTTTGTCTCATTTGTGGTGATTGTGAAAATTAGCCCAGCTGTAAATGGTTACTTAAAATAATCTCTTGGTCCTGGGTCGCAGAAGAAAGTTGATCTGTTTAGTTTTACATTTGGGGAAAGAAAAAAAACACAACAGTAGTCGACAGTGTATTTTTAGACTTGATTGGTAGTTTAAAAAGATGAGCTCTTGTGGTTTCCTGAGTTTAAATGAATGGAAAGTATAAATGGTGCTGAGAAAGGAACTGGAAAATATGGCTGGAGCGGATGAATCACTTTAACTTTGAGAAAACATAACACACGCTTTTGAAATCTCACGGGGCCAGCCAAGTTTGTGTCCAGAAAGAGAATGAGAGTCGTAAAAAGGAGACAGAGTTTGCCTGTTGGCGGAAGGAACTCTGCCACGGCCTGTGCTACAGTTTGCAAGGATGGGAAACGTCCCACGGGGCAAAAGCCTCTGGAAAACCTGCCCTGTCACTCTTGGAATGTGGTTTTTCCGCGTGAGGTCATGTTATGCATATGTAGCTGGGCCAAGTATTTTATGCGATTAACTCTTTGTATTGATGACTCAAGAACAGTTTCTATGGTCCCTTTCCAAACCGCTGGAACTCCCATTGGATCTCTGCTTTCCGAGTAGGGTTCAGGCCTGGGGGCCGCTGGGCCGGGTTGTTCATTTGATCCGTTTAGAAACAGTTGCAAATCGGTGGGATTCAAAGTTCCCCAATGGAGCAGTTATCCTTCAGATTAAGTAACTTGCTGGTTTTTTGCATAAACCCCAAACCGAAATCCTGGGTGTGAGAAGACTATTTAACAAAACTCCCTTCCCATGTATAATTTCCAGAGCAGTAAGGAAGAGGTGGTTTTTATTTTGCAACAACGTCCATTCAAACAAGCTGCCCTCATCACAGTGCGTTGAGGAAAACTAATTGACATAAAAAAATCCTTCTTTCTACTTAGGCGTAGGGGCAGGGGGAGATTTTTTAAAAAATTGGTGCTTAACACCAGGTGCTTTTTCTGCTACTTAAATTCACTCTTGAAATTATGAACTAACCTCTGCCCATACTTTTTCCTGCTAAACGGCAGCTACAAATACTACCCAGGGGACAGGCGAAGAGGACAGAGAGAATGGGTGACTTGCTGATGACCAAAGGAACAGGTTTCTCCACAAAAGGCACGTTTTCAAAGGGAAGCTTCTGATTGTGGCTTGCTTTGTCCATCCGCAGGCGAAGATGCGCTGACGGGGGACACTGACAAGTACCTGGGGCCACAGGACCTCAAGGAGCTGGGCGATGATTCTCTGCCTGCCGAGGGCTACATGGGCTTTAGTCTTGGGGCCCGTTCTGCCAGGTACTTTGTTGTTGCTGTTGTTGTTTTTCAGAGGTAATTTGAAACAGCCATGATTTGTCATAAACCAAAATCATTTTCCATTTTCACCATTATCCCCAAGTACGCTCTTTGGATGAGGATGTGAATTTGGTGAAATGTTCGCTACTCCATTGTATGTGCTCCGCTATTTTCTTTCATGGTTTTCAGTCCTTAATTGTCTGTGATTGAACGTGTTAATTGTTCTTTTTCTCCCCCCACCTTGCAGTCATGCTTCAAGCATACTAGCAAAAGGGCTCACAGACAAAACTGGGAGAACCGATCTGGGTTATATGTTTCAAAATTAAATTTTATTCTAATTGAAAGAAAAATCTTATTTCCCAATAAGTAAGAAATGTTTGTGTTGGTTGTTCACTATTCTCTATTTATTATTGAAAGAAAAATTCATGTTTGAGACTATATATATATAAAATATATATATAATATATATATATAAAATTATTTATTAGACTTGCCTACCAAGTGTTTGGAGTATCTCTTCTAAAGCTTTCCCATTAGTTTGTTTACAAGGGACATGTCAGGAGTGAAACAGTGACTTAGCAAGCCAGGAATAGTGGCAACTTCAATCCTTACAACCAAAGCGTAAAACTTGGTATGTGGAAAACCTTGGCTCAAACTTATCTGACAATGGTTGAAAGAAATAGGACCTTGTCCAGAATTTGGGGACTTCTTTTCCGTGGTTGGATTAACAGCTTGTTTGCTGACAGTCAAGTTATGTGAAAGCTAATAATTAAACCATCTGAGCCAGAGCCCTGGGGACATTTTCCTATAGTTTAAGTATCTGTTGTAAAAAGTTTCATTGTCTAATAGTAAATGGCACTTCCCACTAAGTAAACCTAAGAGTTAATTCTCAGTGTCCTGGCTGTGGCCAGTTTAGATACTGAATTGATGTTTTTTTGAGTTAATCTTTTTGTTTTTTAACAGAATTTGGAATCTCATGTAACTTAGATTTTTTTTGCCTTAGAAAAATATATATCTATAGCTCTATATCTAAAGGCCTTAAAGTCTTCTTGTAGCAGCTGTCATTAACAAGAAGGGGAAATAACCTTTAATATTTCATGTAACCACAGATAATAACAAATTATAACTAAAATGTGTAGCATCTTAAAGGATCTCAAGGGAAAATTCTATTTAGAGATTTAATAGGCTTTGTAATCCAACAACCCGCTGATTCTCTTCCTGAGATAGTATATGAAAGGTAACATTTTATTAATCACTCATTTGCATATAGAAAATTGTAGCAGCTGACATCCAATGAGTGATGAAACCAGAATATTGTCTCATAATTTTTTTTCCCAAGTTGTGAGGCTTCCACACTTCTGGTTTTTATTGTACCATTATTATTATTATTTGTTGCTGTTATATGTAACTCATTTTTTTTTACATTGGCAACTCATGTTATGCTCAGAGGCAAATATAAAAATAAATGATAAAGCCAATATGTTTTAAGGTATTCTTAGAGTATTGCCAAGTATAATATTCTGAGTGTAACATTTAAAAAGAAATACATTAAATGTGTACCTCATTCAACCATAACATTTTTTTCTTTTTTTCCCTGTCTGATTTTTTTTTTTTTTTGCTTCCTTCTTCTCCTGTGTTTTTGTAAAAATACTTTAAAATAGTCCCAAGATCAGGTAAGAAATGGCACTTTCCAGTGTCCCCCACCCTTCCCTGGCTCATTTTCTCATTTTTGTTTCCCTCAGCATTGTGCCGTGCTGTGCTGTGCTGTGTTGTTCTGCCATGCGCTTTTCTGTTCTGCTCAGCTTTAGCAAATCAGTTTGGTGATTCTGAGAAAATGAGCAAATAGCTAAATGTATGATAAGAAATGTTACTCATGCAACATTGCATATTTAAGGAATTTCTTTCGCTTAACAAGGTTTATATAGTGCATGAAGTAACCTGAGAAATTTCCCTGGACTTAGAGAAACCATCTTGAAGAGCTGTTTGCCTGTTGGTTGCATTTTATTTGAATTAAGCACATTGGTATAATTTTAAGAATCCTCAGGCATGTGGTTTCCTAACACTTCCTGTATTTAACACGTAGGGTATACTGATGGCTACAAATAATATAGTTGACCTTAGTTAAAAAACAATTTAATGCTTTCCAGATCCCCATGCAAATAATGTCTAATTTTAGTAGCTGAAATTATTTCGATGTATTAAAGATTCCCAGTGAAGTTTGATGGATTTAATTGGCTCCATCTGCCTAATGTAAGTTGGTCTGAAACAGTTCAGAGTAAGAACTTCAGACAATAAAACGGAGACATCATTAGGCCTTTCTGTTGCTAGCTCCCAGTTCGGGGCTCTGTCCTATAGTTGGCATGCCTATGTAAGTTAAAAGAAAGAGAATGCTTAAAATGTATCAACCCATCTTAGATGTAATTAAAAGCTGGAATTAAAATAAATATGTAATTATTTCTTTAAAATGTTAAGTCTTTGTCCACATCTACAGTAAAACTGTTCTCAGGAATCACCAATATTAACATACACCGGAGAGACCATAACAAAGAAATGAGTGGCTGAAAAAAAAAAAGAAAGAAATGAGTGTCTAAGCCGCAGGGGTCCTCAAACTACGGCCCGCGAGCCACATGCAAATACAAATATTGTATTTGTTCCCATTTTGTTTTTTTACTTCAAAATAAGATATGTGCAGTGTGCATAGGAATTTGTTCATAGTTTTTTTTTAAACTATAGTCCGGCCCTCCAACGGTCTAAGGGACAGTGAACTGGCCCCCTGTTTAAAAAGTTTGAGGACCCCTGGTCTAAAGAGGCAAGTGAGTTTCTCAAATCACATCCCTTCGGCAAATTAGAGCCTTGCCTTGAGTACTTAGAAGTTGCACTGTCTGATAGTGTAGCCCCTAGTGGCACGGCTCTTTAGATGACAACTAGTTAAAATGAAATAAGACCTAAAATGCAGTTCTTCAGTCACCAGCCGCACTCCAGGTGCTCGGCGGCCACGTGTGGCCAGTGGACACTGTGTTGGACAGTGCGGGTTGAGAACACATCCTTCATCAGGAGAAGTTCTGTTGGACAGTTGATTAGAGAGTAGAAAGAGACTTCCTGCTTTTAGGAAGTTTATATAATGTACTTGAGAGAATGGAAGGGCACTAAAAACAGGAATCGCAGAAGGAAATGTTTGCAACTGAAATGGGGGGTGGGAGAAAGAGTTATGAATTATGGGGGTACAGAAGGCCCAAGTGTTCGAGGTCACATGGTTTACTAGGTAAGCTCCTGGTACAGGGATAATGCTTACTTTTTTTCTCCTTCTATATCCTGTTATTAATATTTTGGCTAGCTGATAATAGCCACTTAGCAAATATTTGCTGAATACACTAAGTAATGACTGTACAGTAATAGTCATTCTGGAGTTCTAGATCCCTCTAAGATTCTGGTGACAGCGAAGGCTATGATCCTAGAAGAATGTACCTCCTCATTTCTGTAGACACTTCGAATAATTCAGGGGCCTCTGTGTATTAATATAAAAATACTCACTTTGGGGTAATCTTTAGTATAGTAAGTGCAGAGGGGGAAAGAAGTCGTTTTGTGCAAAGCAAGGGGTCATTCCTTATTCACCTCTCCTTTGCTCTTTTCCCTGCCTAGTACACACAAGGCCAAGGCCAGAGTCTGACTGAATCTACTGGTAAAGATTAAAGCAGCCACATTTACATTCAGACAGTTTATTAGTTACATAGGCGGCGACAGGTGCCAACAGCCATGGTCCTTGTCTGCCACACTAGCTGAGGAGCCAGTCCTAGACTGCAGCTAAATGGTTTCATGTTCTGCCACTCTCTTCCAAGGAGGATGGGCAGGAAGCCTCAGGAGGCAATGAAGAGCTGCCTGGTCACGGCCCACCGGGGCAGGTGAGAGGGAGGCCTGTGGGAGATGCCTGACACAGCTCCCCACCTCCATCCTCTGTGTTCCTGTAGCATCACAGGTGTCCTGCCAAGGCTCAGACCACCTGCCTGTCCTATGTGGATACATGCAGGGTTACCAGGGTCCCTTCTCTATTGCTTTTTTAAAGATTGAGATATAATTGACAAATAACATTATATTAGCTTCAGATGTACAATATAATGATTCAATATGTGTATATATTGCGAAATGATTTTCACAGCCCTAGCCGGTTTGGCTCAGTGGATAAAGCGTCAGCCTGCGGACTGAAGGGTCCCAGGTTTGATTCCGGTTAAGGGCACATGCCTGGGTTGCGGGCTCGATCCCCAGTGGAGGGTGTGCAGAAGGCAGTCGATTAATGATTCCTTCTTGTCATTGATGTTTCTGTCTCTCTCTCCTTCTCCCTTCCTCTCTGAAATCAATAAAGAAATATATATATTTAAAAAAAATGATTATCACAATAATTCTAGTTAACATCCGTCACCACACATAGTTACAATTTTTCTTTCTTGTGATGAGAACTTTTAAGATCTGCTCTCTTGGCGACTTTCAAATATATAAGACAGCATTATTAACTATAATCGCCATGCTGCACATTACACCCCCAGGACTTATTTATTTTATAACTGGAATTTTGTACCTTCTGACCACCTTCAACCGTTTCGCCCATTCCCGAACCCCTTTGTCAGTTTTTAGTTTAGAGGTCAATGTGGAGAGTGGCATTTGAGGACATAAGAAAGCTTGCACTCTGGGAAGTTCAGGGGCTGTGTAGAAGATTTGAAAGTGGGTGGAAAGGAGAAGGTAGAAGGAGCAAGTAAGAAAAGGAAATAAAAAAGTGAGCTCACCTGGAATTGAAATTTTCAAGGCCAGAAAGATGGAGAAGAAAATCATGTAAGATGGATTCATAACACTGCTTACTTCCTTCTTGATGCTTTCCCTGAGTAGCAACCATAAACCTTTCGATAATTTAACCCTATATCTAGCTCCCAATACACATAACTGAACTATTTACAGCAGACACAATTTCATTGAATAAGGCAAGCTAAACAGATAGGGACCAGAAGGACAGGAGACTAACATAAGGTCTTACCATTGAAAAATCTCTCAGGTTATTAAATTATCTGGAATGATCTGGTTCTTCTCAATTGTCATGTTGGTTTGATTGTCACAGTGCAACATCCAAAGCTTTCATGCATTTCATCTTCTCACAGATTTAACACCAGTTGGCCAAATTTTAAACAAAACCTGATCATGAGATTGTCCAAGCTTAAGAGATTTCCTCAAATATAAGGGGTTTTATTTTTGACCATGTGTTTTCAAGAACAACTTTGGTTGATATTTTTAGCCATCTTGCCTGTTTTTAAAGTTGCATGCATTAATTTTTTTTTTATTCATCTCATCATCATCTACCACTCTTGAATGGTTAACTGTAAATACAACAGCCTCCGCTCCTTCAGTTCGGATAGGTCTTACACCTTGAACAGAAGCTCCTATGCCCGGGACAGCATGATGATCGAAGAACTCCTGGTGCCATCCAAAGAGCAGGTAGGCATTCTTTTTTAAAAAAGTACTCTTTGATTTGTTAAACTTCCATTTGTATGTTTGAATCAAACTCTTTGTCCCGTGACAAGAACCATATTTCTGCATGTTTGATTTTGCATTTGTAAATCTCTCTGTGTTGCCACTGAAAGAAAATAAACTATCAGCCCGGCTGGCGTTGCTCTGTGCTTGAGCGTCGATCTGGGTTGCAGGCTCAATCCTCAGTGTGGGGGGTGCAGGAGGCAGCTGATCAAGGATTCTCTCTCTCATCATTGATGTTTCTATCTCTCTCTCCCTCTTCCTTCCTCTTTGAAATCAATAAAAATATAGTTTTAAAAAATCAATTGTGCCATAAATGGAAATAACCCTCTCTTCCTCAGAGAGTCCCTAAAAATCTCACAGAGAAAAACTCAGAAAGTCCTAGGCTCTTTTTTCATTTCTTGGTCTAATCTAGTTTAATTTTTAAAAAGAGTTAATAATAATAATTGGTAGCTAAAGTTATGTACATTATCCACATGGATGTTTGATTTTCCTAAACAAACTCTTTGTTAGTCCTCACCCGAGGAGATTTTTTCCATTGATTTTTTTTTTTTTTTTTAGTTGAAGGTGAGGGGAAAGGGAGAGAAAGAGAGAAAAATATCGATGTGAGAGAGACACATTGATTGGTTACCTTCCACATGCACCTTGACCAGGGCTGGGGGTCAAACCTGCAACCCAGATATGTGCCCTTGACCGGAAATCCAACCAGAGACTCTCGGGCACATTGGCCAATGCTCTAATCACTGAGCATGCTGGCCAGGGCTTCCTAAACAAAATTAGTATCATGTTGGAATTCGCTACAACTGTTCTCAGCAAGTAAAGATTAGATTGGTTCATGTTTTTGATTCCTTAGTTTCAAAGGTGTGTAATGGGCCTTCTCAAGATGTGATAGTATTTTGCTTTCTACCAGAATCTCTGCTAGGTTTACTTGGTGTTTGGGTGTTTCAATAATTGTGGTTGAATAGATAATTGGTTTACTACAAGAAGTCCCAGCAATGTAGTTCTGCTGCATATGGGCTCAGAATGGTTCATTATTCTAGTAACACACAATACTTGATTGTAAATTTGCATTCCTGAGTTGATGATGGATGAAACTATTTGAAACATAAAGTTAATTTTGAAGGTGTCTTATAATATTGAACAATGTAGATGATTGGTGAAATGATGCTGGACTTATTCACTGCACAATGAAGGTGAATTTGAGCAGATGAATTAGATGATAAACAGAGAGTCAGAACTTCAGGACTCCTACTTGTCTGGAGATGCTGATTTCCAGACACACAGATGTACATTGTGCTTCACAAGGATCTACAATGAACATTTTATTATTCTACACTCTCTAGAACATTCTTAGCTTCCAGGCCTTACAAGGTGAATACAGTGGCTATTCAGTTTTGTTTAGGCAAAAACACCCTTTGTGGAATGATTACAGGTACCACAGTTTGTCGTGGTTTACGTGGGTGTTAACACTAAAAAAATCACTTGTCTCAACTAATGAAGCTAAGGTCTTTGGTGTAAGGTGTTGTCCTGCTGTTGGTTGAGAAATTCTGAGGATCTCTTTGCTTGGTTGGCTGTGGTCATTATTCTAGTCAGATCATCCTGATCTCTTGATGTTCCCAATTGAAATGAGATGTTCATGGGTACATTGATAATAATTACAAGTGTAAAAATGCCTGTTATTCTCCATATCCTAAAGGAACCACACAAAGCTTATAAAATTGCAGGTGAAAATATATTCGTTGTGTATCAGTGACATTTTTCTCTTTTATCAAATGTGTCTAGTTCTATACTGGAATAGCAAAATCCATGATTAAACTAATTATGGTTTATATTTCTGAATGTGTATTGGCTTTCGCAAGGACCTGAAATTGGGATCACAATCACCATGACCTCACCATATTGCCACTACCACCACCATCCATCACTTCCACCACCACCTCTGCCACCACCACCACCATCACCTCCATCACCTCCACCACTATTACCACCATAGTTACATTACCTCCCATGTTCAGCACAGCAACCGTAAAGTAAAATACTATAAATATTTGCAGTGTTGCAAGGTTGCAGACCGACTTCTGAGGGTCCTCACACCATTCCCTGTTAGTTTTTACCTAGACCTCCTTACTCAAGTGGAATGAAAGGGCAGCCTTTTCTCAGAATGAAGGATTTGTGAAAAATAAAGGGTAAAGAGAAGTTTTGAGATAAAACTGATGTCCTTTTGCTCATTTTGTTGCTGGTTCAATTTCTGTGCATGTCACGACACTTCTGTGGAACAGTCAGGGGAATGGAAGGTTTAGGACATCTTGAAACCTTTACAAAGAAGTCTGAAGCTGATAACTGCAGAAGCAGGAAGTTGCTTTCTTTAATGACCACAGAGAATCCCATGGTCTGGCAAGCATGCCTTGTGGAAAGAGCATGTTTAATGAACATATAACCTTACTCCTGGCCACACTTTCATGATAAATTCCCCAGAGATTTGGGGGGAAAAAAAGTGTGGAAGGCATAAAAACATTGTAGTGGCAGTTGGGGGCATTTGAAAATTTACTGGTTATACTGTTAAGAAATAGTTAATTTTTTAGCAGCTATAACAGTATTGCAGCTCTACAGGGGACTATCTCTGTTCCATGCAGGGGTATGCATTGCTGAAGTTTTCGGGAATGAAGTAATTATTAAGTCAGCTATTTATTTTCAAGTAGTTCAGCAGAAGAAAAAGTGTACGTGTGAAGAGAGAGAGAGAGAGAAAAGCAAGTGCAGCAAAAATGTAATTGTTTAACCTAGGTGGAGTGTATATGGGTATTTCTTATACTGTTTTTTCAACTTTCTTATTTGTATGAACACCTTCAAAATAAAAACTTGGAAGAAAGGGGAAAACAAATTCTGAAAGAGGTGTATTAACCTATTTAGTCCCAAGTGTCTCATTCATTATAGAAGAGAGAGAAAAGGCTAATTCTTCAAAAGAGAAGTTTCCAGAGGGGAGGAGTCCAGTTACATTGTGCACGACTAGTGAGAAGCATTTACCTGAGCAGCTCATTTACACGCCTTCTATTAAAATTTAAGTACAAGAAGTATTAGTTTATGTCTATCATGCCTCTCAATCTAGATTTATAAACTTCAAAGCGGAGTTTCTCCACAGTATTGATTTTGTCTGAAAGCATGCAAGAGGTCCTCAATCCTTAGAATTCCTAAAGCCATGTTACTTGACTTGCTGTCAGATTTAAAACTGCCCTGTCATTGCCCAAAGTTGCTTTGACAAGGTAAGGCGGAAAATGAATAAAAATGAACCCTCTGCACACTTTTTTCAGCATGAGTAGACCTCACCCCCACAACGCCTGGTTTATTTTCCTGCTGCTGCAGATTAAGCAGTTTGCACATTAACCACAGTTACAGGACAGTTGAGACCCAGGGTAATTCCCACAGGCCCGCCACCTGTGTGGCTGGAGGCAGGTGTGGAGGCCAGCACTGGGGAGGAGAGTTGGGAGAAGCAAGTTGTCCTCCCTCCTTGCTGGGCCTTCATCGGGATTAGTCTGTAAACCACTCGGTCCTCCCTCCGCCCCAGTCAAGAATGGACTCTTTTTTTTTCTTTCACCTTTTAATCAAGAACCACCTTTCAATGTGTTTCTGAAAATTATATGCAAATAAACCACATCTTGCATTTGTCAGAAGATGGTATTTAGAGCAGTGACTCTCAGCCCTGACCACTGGTGAGAATCACCCAATAAACGTCTAACTATTTATTTATTTATTTATTTATTTATTTATTTATTTATTTATTTATTTATTTAAAATATATCTTTATTGATTTCAGAGAGGAAGGAAGAGGGAGAGCCAGGTAGAAACATCAGTAATGAGAGAGAATCATTGATCAGCTGCCCCCTGCATGCCCCACACTGGCAATCGAGCCCACAAACCGGGCATGTGCCTGACCGGGAATTGAACCATGACCTCCTGGTTCATAGGTCAGTGCTCAACCACTGAGCCATGCTGACGGAGCACCCAAAGAACTTTTAAAAAACAACGATAGCTCAGTTCAGATTCAATGGACCTGGGTGGGGCCTGGGCTTCGCATTTTTCAATGCACCCAGAATTGAAAAGCACCGGTTCCTGGTGAGAGCACGCATTGGAACCGTCGGTGGCTGCTTGGGAAACAAGATGCCGACGGAATCAGAATCTCCCTGACGGGGTCCCTGGGCATGTGTGTGTTTCTAACGCTCCACGGGCTGTTCTGGAATGCGTCTCTAAGTAGGAATCACTGATTTAGAGCGCTCTGCCTGGCATCTTCTTGTATATGACCTGTCAACATCTAATGTATTTGTTTTATAAGCTCAGAGTTGTGCCTGTCAGGTAGTCTTAGAGCAAGCATTCTTGGAAGCATTCCTTTCCAAATAGGTGGTAATAAGGGAAAGAGATGACTCGAAGCTGAAGCCCAGTCTCCTGACATAATTGTGGGAGGCACCATCTGGTGCTGCAGTCTGTGATCCAGGTCAGCCAGGCCTCATGACATCAGTGGAGGACTAGTCATTAGAGGCCGTTGGCGTCAGGAGATACGGTGGCGATGCGTATGGTGATGATGGTGAAAACAGCTAATGTTGAGCTCCTATTACATGGCAGGCACTATTCTAAGTTTTACCAGCATTAACTCCTATACCCTTCTCAAAAGTCCTATGAGATAATTTCTTGGCTCCATTGAAAAGATGAAGAAACTGAAGTGCACAGGCAGATGCCGTGACTTACCCCAGGGGACACAGCTGGTAAATGGCAGACAGCCACTTGGCCATCTGGCCCCAGGTTGCCTCCTTTTAATACTAATCCACAATTACACTGCACATCTGCATTACTTAGTGTGAGGGAGTGAGAAGGAAGCCAGCAGAGAGCCCAGCCTTGACTTTCCACCCTCCAGGATCGCATACTTGTTAGTATTCTCAATATGGGTGTGGTACCTCCCTGGCCAGATGGTACAGTTGGTT